GGTGCTACTAAAGTGGAAAGTTTGGATAACAAAATTCTTTCGGGAAACAAGGTGTTATGCAAATAGTGGAAGGATCTTGTGTGAATAAGTCTCTTTCATAAGTATCATTAAGTGTTCACTCGACATCAATTCATCTAATGTTTATTTTTCAAACTTGTTTTTATAACAATAAATCTCCTATTATTTTCTCTGTGTTGGTTAATACATGCTAGAATTTATCTTCTATTGCTTGGCCTATTGCCCATACATTGTTATCTATATTTGTGTCATGTGGCAGAGCCAATTTTCATTTTTTATACCAACAGTTGTATATATGTATATGCACGGGATGAGACAGACCTAATTGTGCATGTGAGTGATCTTGAGCTTGAGTTTCAGTTGTTACAGATGGTACTAAATTAAGTTTTTGACCTTATCCTTGGTATAGATTAGTTGCAATGCAATCATGCCAAGTGTAACTTTGAAGCCTCTTCCCCTTATCTTATGTTTCTTCATATTTCTTCCATTCTCACTTTTGTTCCTTTTTGTCCCTTTGTTTTTACCTTTGCTTTCATCATTTTTATTTCCCCATTATTTCCTCATATATTTCTGTTTTGTTCTTCTATTCTCACTTCAAATCCATCTGACAATCTTTATATTGCAATAGTTGACTAGCTTATGAAGAAGTATGTTAATCTTTTTGAATTTGACTTGTCATTTGGGGCCAAATCCAACTAAGGATGCTAAAGAAAAGTGTTATATGAAAATCGTGGAGTCTTTGGGCATATATGTAAACTCCTGAATTTGGACTTCTCGGTTTGGACTTCCCGGGAGGTCATCCAGCCCAGTACTATTTAAACCAAAGGACAATTAACCCCAAATATTCCAATACCCTTAACGATTGAAAAATGGGATGCATTTTTATTCATAGGCCCTTTCCCATTATATTTGAATCTTATGGATTATCTTTCTTTTGGTTGCTTACAGTATGAACTTTATCTTGTCATGAAACCTACTAGGAGTATTTACTTTTGCATCAACTATTGGCCATTAAATGAAGTAATTATCCCAGATATGTATTGATACTTATATTGCTGATCTTCTAGATTGTCTAGGAAGAAGCCATTGGTTCACCAAATTAAATCTTACTTCTAGGTATTGGCAAATGTCGATAGTTGAGAATAATGTTCCCAAGATTGCTTTTCTTACACCATTTGATTTATATAAATTCTTAATGATGTCATTCAGTTTTAACAATTCTTAAGCAACTTTCTAACAAATGATAGATGAGGTTCTTTACAATATACCAAAGGTGACTACTGACTTTATTAATGATGTTTTGTTTCACTTGGAGGGGACGTGGGAGAAGCACATCTATAATGTTTAAAAGGTGTTGAATCAGTTGTAGAAAGTTGATTTAAAATTAAAGTGGTTGAAGTGCATGTGTAAACTCTTGAATTTGAACTTCCCAGAAGGTCACCTAACTTAATACTATTCAAACCCAAAGACACTTAACCCCAAATATCCCAAAACCCTTAACCAATTGAAAAAAGGGGTACAATCTTATTTATAGACTCTTTCTTTTTATATTTGAACCCCATGAATCATCTCTCAAGTTATTCTTTTTAGTTGTTTACAGCATGTTTGGGTCCAAGGATATGATTTATCTTAAGTACCACATTTCTCATAAGAGTTTGCAAGTTGATCCAGAAAAAATTATAGCTATTCTAAAGTTCTTTACTCCGAAATGTGTGAATGATATGCAACACTTTCTGGGCAAGGTGCAGTATCTCAATCATTTTGTTGATCATCTTTCTAATCTCTTTCATTTTTTCTGAGAACTGCAAATAAGCCTTTATGGAACTCAAAGAATTATTAATGATTCCTCCAATTTTGGCATATCCTGACTATATTTGACTTTTCATTTTGCGTGTGGATGCTTTAGATATTAATTTTAGGAGTCTTTTAATGCAAGAAAGTATGTCTTTGTGGAAATCAATTATAATTTCCCATTCATTTGAGTTGGTGGTGTTTAATTTTATGAGGCCTTTTCCACTGTTGACTGTTAGTAATAAGTATGTTATTACTATTTTTTACTACTTGACTTGCTAAGTGAAAGTTGGTGTTTTTGTTAATGCGTCTACAATTGCTATTAAATACTTCCTCCTCAATTAAATGGTGTTTTAGCATTTATGTCTAAATTCTTTTAGATAATAATCTTACATTTATGGCTGAGGAATTTCACCTTTAACATCTCAAAGAGTGTCTCCCATCCAACTCCAATATCAAAGACATAGTGATTGAATGGTTTTGTGTGTCAAAATAATAGCAGGCTAAGACATTATTTTCTCTCAGAATATATAAACCTCTACAGTAACAACTAGACTTTATCTGTATGCAAGAGAAGCAATAGCTTTAGCTCTAGCCTTACAACATGTCTGAGAGTAGCTATTGTTCTGAAGAACCTGCAAGAGTATGAAATGCCTCTTTACAACTATAGCCTCATGATCAAGTAGCTCATGGCTTATATATCAAGTGGAGTAGTGCAGTCCAAAGAACAAGAGCATCCCAATGCATCAAAATCGACAAAGTGTGCTATATTCATTTGAGTCTCTTGCTTTGTTTGTTTAGTAGTACAAAAATCTATACATGTAGCATGAGCTAAATTCTGTCTCATGCATAGATGTCCTCCACACCAAATTCTTCCCTTTGGTGACCTCTTGTTCATGGGAAAGGAACTTACTAATCCATCTTGTAAGGAATGACTTCTTTGCTATCACCAGGACTTTTTTTAATTTTTGGTTCGAGTGAAGCCAGAACCTTAGGTAAGGAACTATAAGAATCTAAGAATCATTAAAAATTTACTTTTTCTGTGTTTGTGTCCGTTTGTTTATGTTTGGTTTGGTTTTTTTTTTTTCTGGTTGGGTTGGCTGTGGTTGGAGTTTAGCTTTGTGGAACAGGCCAACAAGGGGAGTGGACTGGATGTGAGAGTAGAAGAAGCTGCCCCCCTCCCCGTCCACAATGCGCATAGCTGTTAATGCGAACCATGAGGTGGTTGGTGCATGCGCCCAGCAAGTAGTTGAAGAAAACTTATAAGTCTGCTGTGGTTAAATGGGACTAAAAGGTAACCACAAGCCCTAACTTGTCTCTTAACAGTGCCTTAGCAGGTTCTGTTAACTTTTAAGTACTAGGAAAAAAGAATAAAAAGAATGCTGAAGGAAATCATGTTCTTAGAGTTCCGTGGCAGAGTCTGTGAGTCACGCTGCCACACTTCCCATAAAAATACAGTAAGCTGTTTGCGACCATGTTCTAATCCAAGCTTGCAACTGCCGTAGGGCTCGTAGTGCAGCTAAAGTCGCAAGGCCTTGAGCACGCTGACATATGTACAACAGTCCATAAATGAAGTCCACTGCTCCCCATTTGGCACTAAGCAGCATCTGTGTTTCTAGAGCATTTTCAAGCTGATAATATTGTCAGATCTGACAACAATATCAGCTTGAAAATGCTCAAGGTACACTACTTGGTCTTTTGGACTAGGAAGTTGGCTCAAGGATCCAATAGTCAATGAAAGGCCTGTTCTGTGCTGGGTTACAAAGCAAGACACTATATCAGCGGCAACAGAATGGACAAAACCTAGTCTAACAAAATCACTCAGTAGTCTTTCAAGGCTCTTTTCAGCCATCCACTGCATTCAAGTGGTCGCAAGGACTTAAAGTCAAGTCGTCCTTGGAGAAACAACAGATAAGGCAGTTCCTTCTCCTCATTCCCGGCTGCAAATTTGTGAACAACGGATGTTGCTAACATACCCGAAACAACTTCTCGGGCAAAAATCGAAATACAACACCTTGTTAGAGAGCTGAGGGGCACCTCAAACTGGTGATCATGAAGCTGAAGGGGCACTCGATACTCCACTGTTGAACTGCTCATCAAACAGAATTAAGCAGGAACAAAAGAGAATCAGTTTACTTGTCAAATGCATTGGCTGTCATGCACAATGCAGGAGCTCCAGGCCTGTGGAACTTGAGGTTGCTGCTCATGAATAGAATTCAGTTAGTACAGGATGAAACAAAAGCCGCACAGAATCAAAATCTCTCACAACTGCGAAATTTTATACATTTATATGCAAAGTCTCTGAACCGACTGCGCAAGCTGTCGAGACGGTGGCGCAAAAATGACACCTGGAAAACCCGAGACCTTCGTTTGGAGCCGAGGCTGGCGAGCATGCCAATTGCAAGTTGCTGATTTCCAAGTTGTAGCTGTTGCTGGACCGTGAGCAAACTCCCCTGAAAAATCCAGAGGTTTCTCGCTCTCCATATTACCCAGCATACTAACGCCACAACCGTGAGTCTCGCTATGAGCGGCACTTGCTGCATCTGAAGGTCCCCTGCCAAAAGTTGGACTGATGGAGGCATGTCCCACAGAGCCTGGACGGCATGCCGCACTTCTTGTGCTCTCGATAGTCGATGAAAAGATGTTGAATTGTTTCGTCAGCCGTCCCGCAGAAAATAGAATCCATGGTGTCCGTAACTGCTTTCTGTAGCGGGAGTCCATTAATGAGCAGTTGCCAGTAGAACCAGCGGATTTTAAAGGGGACAGGAAGCTGCCATAGTGTGCACCAGGATTTTCAATCTCAAGCACCTGTTTCAACTTTCAAGCCTTCCACATTCACTTGCTCACTTGCCTTTGGTTGCTTGGTGAGACAGCTCGAGTGCCATTTTCTGAGCAGCTTCAAGCAGCGAATATTGGCCTTCAGATGTGGAAACTGTTGGAAAATGGATCTGGACAGGCTGGGGATTTAACCTAGGACCTCCTACACTGGTGCCAGGTGCTCTACCACTGAGGTACCGGTTGTGTGCATGTTCAACTTAATTTTAACAGAAACTATGTATGGTTTTGTGGAAACCTATGTTCGGCTTTATAGTAACAGCCGTACATACGTACGGTCTCATTACACAATAGATGAAGCTCCTCAGATCTATCTTAATTATAAACTCCCGGGTTAACTACTCAGCTTCAGAAGTCTTCTTCAGTATCCGATACCGATGCTCCAGATGCCAGCGCCGCTTCAGAAAAAAGAACATAAATCAAACACTTAAATGGCGAGTCTGAGAAACTTACCAAGCTTCTTTGGCACAAAACTCCGATCATTGTGCCAGTCGTACTTCCTCTTGTGCTTCCGCTCCAGCTGCGATTCCAGAAGTTCGTTGTCGTGCACTTGCATCAGCAGCTGGTTATCGCTTGCCCCAGCTGGCCACTCCACATCGGTGTGGTTCATGAAGAAAGGATACCTGCACCGAAACGGTTAGAAGGCCACTTCCACAACGACGGACATACCGGTCGCATCCTTCGATTCCAGCTCTTTCGAAGTCAACAGCCAGGACGTGCGTCAGGCCTTCATCGACAAGCAGGTTGTCGAGCCTGAGGTCGCCGTGCACGCCGCGAAGGGTGGATGCTTGGGCATCCTTCAAGCATTTGCGAGCCAGACTACTGATCTTGTTCCACTTGGCAGAAGAAACGGAAAAGACGTTAGTTTTCCTTTGAAGGTCGGTGTAGCCTTCCATGTACTCCATGAGCACCATGAGCCAGTCCCCGCTCAGACGCATGGTATTGAACAGCTTCGGAGTACAGCCACGAGAGAACCAGTCGGCGTGAACTTGGCTCCCGTACCGCTGGCAGAACTTGGCCAGGATCTTGGTAACACCACTGCGTTTGATCTGCTCAAAAGGCGTCGGCAGCACATCTCGGCTATGCTGCAGATCCAGCACGTAAAGCTTTCCAAAACTCAGCACCATGACACCGCCACCTGTGGAATAAAACTCCTGCAATGGATACGGAAGGTCGACTGCTGCCAACTCCAGCTCTGCCGCCGGGCGCCTCATCACTGCTGCTCGAAGTGATACGAGCTTCAAGAGCGATTTGCGCAAAGCGACCACCATCCGGCAAAGAGCATCCATCTCCTTATGGTTTGTCCTCCGCACCAAGAGGCCCATCTTCAGCGGCTCGACCAGAGGACAGGAAGCAAATGCTGCGCCCGAGACTTTCAACAGTGCACCCGTAATCTCCAGCAGGAACACCGGGTACCGCTCACAGCGCACCATAACCTCATCGCGGTTGTCGCTTAAATCTCTCACGTAGTACCTGACCACGAACACGGAGAAAATATCAGAAAAGAGCAAAGGAAATACATGGAGTGTTAGTACGTACGCGCCTGCTTCCAGGTAGGCATTTCCCGAAAAGCCTTCTTCATTCTTGACCTGGCATATAGCTAGCAGCTGCCGCTGATACAGGATCGCGATGTCCTTCTTGCCGACCTCGTCAACCAAAAATTCGAACGGAAGATAGGCTCGCAGCAAAGCGAACAGCATCTTACACCTTTCCGCCTCATCAACGTAAGCCATGGAAGACTTCAAACACAACTCGTTGACAAAGGCAGAATCTTTGGCCGTGGGCGTCAGTTCGAGGCTGTCACACAAGTCCAGAAAGTAGGCAAAGACCGGAGAGACGAGCGCTATCGGCAGACCACGAGCGGTGTCTGGACGGTAGTTTAACAGTGCAGGTGGCTTGGTGTCCGACATCTGCTCCTGAATGGTGAAGGTGATCATTTGGTTTGCCATGTCAGAGGGGCAGCGGCTCATCACCCGATCGTACGCCTCGGACCCAAGGTAGGCAACCCGCGATCCTCGGAGTGTAAAGGCCGCCTCTTTCCTTCCTGCCAGACACAAGCCGGCTTGAAAACATCAGAAAACTACCGAGGGAGAGAGCGTACCTTCGAGTAGGAGCACCTTTGCCATTCCAGCTGGGACATTCAGGTCCCTGAGCTCAGCGAGAGTGAAATCCTTGATGTCGTCAAGCCGGTAGATGCATTCATCCTCAAGAGCTTCCACGACCTTCGCGACCTTCTCCTCATCGAAGTGTCGCACCAACACATTCCAGATTTCGTTACCGCCGCTGCCCATTAAGTATTTATGAAACCCTAGACCTAGGGGTTTAGTTGTTGTAATCTTGAGCAGGGAGATGGTGCCGCCGTGAATCTCAAAGCCATGCAAGTATTGATCGATTGATTGATGCTGCTGAGAGAGAGGGAGAGAGGAGAGAAAGAGTCTCTGCAGAACCTTGTTAGCTTTGTCGATGGTAATTATAAGAAGATGTATTAAAAATTATACATATAATATAGTTTATATATATATATATATAGTATACATAATATTTCTTAAGCATACATTACTAAAAGCACAATGGGAATCATCCATAAGTCTCATATAACGTTATAAGGGAAATTTCCCCAAGCACTGACCCTATAGTTCACTTGGGATGCTTATTTGAAACGATTGTAGTAATTTTGGAAAATGATGGAAATAACTGAGCTTTTATCCTTACCCAGCACCAGTTCTGCATCAGTATCTCAAGCTGCAATAACTGTATGCTGCAATTAAAGCAGTCTAAAATAAATTAATTGATGATTGTATATTATTAAATATGCATTTTGCTACAATACATTGATCACACTTCACACATAAAAATATCATAGTAGCTACAGTTTTTTCTTGTTCCAGTTCCAATATACACATTTTGGCATGTTGTTGTTGCCCAATAGTCAAAGCCTATATTGAATAAGCCTTTATTGCAGCAATAGATTTAAATCTCATCAATTTGATTGAGTAGTTTTATAAAAGCTAAATCATCTCGGTTCTTTAAATATCCAGCACACCATGTAATAACATGTTTTGAAAGCCATTTCTTTCTTCAGCATTAAATATGCTTTCTCTTTTGCTATACATATCAATTAAACTGATAGCCACAAGTATATCAAAAGCAGCTATAGCTTGCTTATGAATTGCTATTCCTTTCTGGAAACATGATTCTGTATTTTCACTAGCATAAGAGTTACATGCTTTTAGAGTTGCAATCAGTGAATTTTGTGGTGGCAAAATTTTACTACCCGCATATTTGTAATTCATTTTTATTACTAATTACTGTAAATCTGTAATACAAAACTGTTTCAGCTAGTTTCACTAACTACAATACATGTTATTCTACTTGGCTTAGAAGGCCAGTGCAGCCAAAGTATTCCCATTCTCCACATATCCAAATCACTACAATTCTTGACACCATGCTATCAAATACTTGCTTGGCAAGATCCATACACCCACATGTGCCCAAGCACTAAGTGCCTACAACATTGAGAAGAATGATACAAGAATGGTCTAAAATTGGTCCCCTTTGTCACCATCCAGGTTAGTTTTTGTGCTACCAATATATCTTGCCCAGTTTGTTGAGGATTTCAACAATACCATCAGTGAGGAAACACCATGAACTGGAACATGTAATGTACCTTTCTTCACACCATGAATGTTTTTGCAGCCATTAAACCTACATCCTTTCCATCCGACCAGTGTAAAACCAATATGTCAAATTCTCCTCCAACTTCGCCATCCCCCACCAACGCTAACCCGCACAGGAGTTGCACCTTGTGACAGTTCGGAACTCTACAATTTGCTGATGTTCTGACCCCGTCTGCATTCACGTGTGGTGCTACCGGTTGATGGCATGGAGTCTCCAGTGTTTGTTTACCTGGCCGCGATCTACAGGTTTGGGCTCTGTTTCATGTGCTAATTCGACGATGCCACCATTTTGCAGAGATCTCTGCTGTTCAAGGCATCAACTTATGAAGATTAGACCACATTGTGTCAGGCTGATCTTACATTCAGGGCTAGTGGATGGCGACTGATGTTAATTCGTTTCTGTTGAAGAGCTCAGGATGAGAAGAACAAAATCAAGCTGAATTTTGCTTACTGTTATTCCCATTCCACTGTGGCAGGAGGCTTGGAAGTAATATCATACACCACTCTGTTTACTCCTCTGACGGTGTTGCAGATCTTGGAAACCCTTATGGAAGGTTATATGTTAGACTTTCAAACTGGAACCTTCCTTGGATAAATGAACTTCTTTGCAAAGGCACAGGAGCTGAAACTAATCCCAGCTACTACCCACCCTCACTACATGCCTCTTGAGCTTGTGAATGCCACTTGGATGCTGGATTTGCAACAAATACTTCTAGGGGAGAGGACCAATCACCCATGCTTACACACATAGCTTTCAGCATTCAAATTGGGATACTTATTTGCTGTGTGTTTGTCATAGGGGTGTAATTTTTATTGTTGCTTCACTGTATAAACTTCTATATAATTATGATTTGATATTGTCAATAGAGTTGAGTTTACTTTCACAATTGTTACAAGCTGCTGATGTTAAGTCCTTGGATTAGTATTTGATAAACATTCTTCTATTGCCAAATAGAGTTTATTGAATACCTAAGCCATATACAAATGGGACAATAATAACACTACAAATTTTATCATCATCCACTTACAGAGTATAAAATGGATAATTTGGTGTTAGTCTATTTCCTAATCTTATAGTATATGGTTTGTTTAAAAGGCTCTTTACTCAGTGGAAGGGATTATATTAGATGTTGTGGCAAGTTGGGATGAAATTTGGCATAACATTTAACATGTTAATCCTTTAGAAATTGTGCATGTGTAGTGGTTTAAACACTTTGTACAAAATGATTAAGAACAACTAACACCATCTATAAATTATCAATGCTTCCTTTTGATATTTCTCTAGATCCCAGTCTGTTCATTAGAGAATTCTAATTGTCTTCCATCCTTTCGAGAGGAGGGGTTGAAAGTTTAATTGTACAGTTATGATGCCGTATACTAATATTAATGTAGTAGGATTTTGATAGTTGTCATATTAGTTTCACACACCTTGTATATAAAATAGGTTTTAGCTATTTGATATGTATATTTCTATATACTCTTTCCATATTCCAATTTAGTCATAAAACAAATATATATATATATATATATATATATATATATATATATATATATATATATATATATATATATATATATATATATATATATATATATATATATACTAATTTTGATGTTAATAAAAAAAACCCATAATTGAAATTCGAGATACTGAGTGGGTTATATTATCATAATAAAAAGTCTGGTGGTAGTCCAAGCATGTGGCCATAGTTTGGAAAAATTTTACTACTGTCATGTTCTTATTGTTGCTACTGCTTGAGGTAGATTCCATCCACTTCTATAGCAAGGTATTTCCTTTTTAGATTCTTTGTACCATAACCTCTTTTTGCATGCTATGGTAGTACCATGGATGCTTGTAGGTGACCTTGATCTTCTGAAACTTTTGGCAAGCTAATGTTCACAAGCAAATGTTGGGCAGAGGTATATGATGATTCCTATTGGACAACATCTGACACAAGCACACGACTTCTCTAAACTGCAATAAGATTCCTGGAGTAACTCTAGCTCCAACAGTAATTCCAACTCCATCAGCTCCAACATTAGCAGTTCCATCTGCTTGAACTCCACCCCTAATTCCAACACTAGCAAGGCCTCCAAGATCAACTCCCAAACTAAACTATTGAAGTGATCTTCCATGAAAAACAAAATGTTACCATTGCAATCACTATTGTTAAACTTTTTATAGTGGTTTTTGTTATTTAGTTTGCTTAAAGAATATATCTAGAATATATTTGAATATTCTAGGATATTTTACCATTTAATGGTTGTTATTCATTTAGATTAATTTTATCTTTATAATATATATACATGTTTATAATTTCCTAAACACTTCCTAGTATATTCTAGTTTATTCTACCATCTTAAACTTCCAATTGATCAAATAATAAAAATTACTAAATTGCAGTTATTTATAAAAATTTTACTTTTTTACTTTTATAGAAAAATCTGTTAAATCTGCAAAATGAATCGTGTCTATATCGCTATATTATACACTTCCTCTAGATCTTCTCAGCAATGATGCGCTGCCCTTCTAACAGCACAAAGGTTTCCATTTTCTTACCACCAATCTTCCTCTTCTCTCCTGTTTGGTGCAACGTGTATGTGAAAACTGGAAAGTAGAAGAATTCTTCCACTGTAAGATATATATTGCATTAACGAAAGTCAGCAATCTCACAAAATTTAGGGCTACTCTGTGTCTATGGCGTCATTGAGGTGAGTGTTTCTTGCGATCGGTCTATCGGTCGTAAGATCGAGAATGTGGCAGCTCAAGCAGTGGATCGATGCGCTTGTTCGTGGATTCCTCGGACATTCAAGCTTGGAAGAAATGGCTTCCAACGGGCGTTTTCTACGGTAATCCATCCATAGTTTTCTTCTATTTGTTTCTTCTTTGGTTTTGAGTCTTGTCTATGTTCTATTCAGGGGTTACAACAAATCCGTTGCTCCTCAGAGAATCAAATGTAGCATGTCAAACTAAAAGTATCGGCGTTCTTTCGAACCAAGCACTTCGCCTGGTAAGGTGTAAGGTTTTCTTTTTTGCTTTCTTTTATCAACTGCTATACTACACCGCGTCCTTCCTGATCATCTGTGTGATCGATTTCTTTTTCTTTTTCTGGCTTCTCATGCAATCCAGGGGGCAAAAGAGATACACTTGCAAGCCTGGGGAAAATCTTCGGACGCGCTGCTGCGTACTGCCTCAGAGCTCGCCAGCATTGACAGCTCAGTCGTGGTAAGCCTTCTTTCAACTTTATTCGTTTTTTTTTCTTTCTTTCTTTTGTCGTTGCTAGCTGAAGATATTGTCTCCAGGTACAAATCCCTGCAACTTATGAGGGCTTGAGAGCTGCCAGCAAACTCAAGGATATGGGAGCTCGTATTGCGTTGATTATATATTCTATGCATCAGGTAGCTCGTGAGTTCCAGACTAAGTTTTGAGCTACCTTTTCTTTCTTTTTTTCTGTTCTTCCTTGCTACAAGCAGGCGCTCTTAGCTCTGGGGATCGGTGCAGAATATGTGACTCTGGACGTTGGCAAGTCTCCCTCTGACGAAGAATCGAAAGCGAAAATGTGCAGCAGCGTTCAGGTACCGGTCCTAATATTATACAAAGATTCTCCAAACTTTTCTTTTCTGCAGGGCCTGGTACGTCGGGCAAGCGGTACAACCAAGCAGCTCGTGGCCAACGTACTCAGCTTGGACGAGTTGACAACTTGTTTAGTGGCGTCATCACCAGCAAATCAAGCTAATTCCTTCGCTTTGACGCCATCCGCCATAGGGGAGCTGTTTGCGGACAAATTCACCGAAGACATGGTAAACGAGTTCGAAGCCGCGGCATCAAAGAACAATTTCAGCTTGTTTCTTTGACGGACAGGGTACGTGGTGGATGCCTGTAGTTTAGTTTTTTCTTTTCCTTTTGTCTTAGCGAGCTTAGAGTATCGTGATCGCCTTTGCTTTCCGGAATGATGATGTGACCTGCAGGGAAGGGCAAGCTGAGATAAAACTATACACGGGCTTGTCTTCGCATTCACATGCAGGTGGGGGCATTTCTTCTCGGTTCTCGTGTTCCTCTTTGGTGTATTCTTCCGCTTTTTTAAATTCTGAGCGCTGATTTGATTTGGATGCAGACGAGCGCTGCTCTTCCTTACTTGCGAAGAAAGCCGCTGCTGGCCATGTTGCATCCACCGCTCAACTTGTACTTAAGCTCCGTAGCTGAGAATCAAAGCTCATGTGGCCAAAGGGACGATTTTCTTCTCCGGTTTCGTTGTTTTCCTGCTCGTCCCTGGTAACTTTTTATTCTCTGTACCGATCCATGGGGCCTGCTGCGATGCTGGCTGGACTGGCATTCGACTTTTCCCAGCAGCTTTTGTGAGAAAGTCAAGACGGTTTGTCTTTGTTTAAGCTTTTGATTCCCTTTCACTACTGTTTGTTGCTACTGCTGACGACCCCTCCTTTTACCTCGCAGAGTTTTATAAGGATCAAAGTGGGGGGGAATGCACTCTCGATCATTGCAATGCGGCGCGGGGAAGCGAGAATTTTGAGACGAAAAGACGAGTCAAGCAAAGGCAAGGCTTTCGTGATACTCTTGTTTAACAATGCCTTGTCTCTCTCGGGTACATCCACTTGAGAAGGAAAGAAAGAGAGATCATTTGCCGGAATATTTCTGGACCGCCGGAATGCATTGCGATTATTTGCCGGAAGACGTTTCTACCGCCGGAACAGAGATATTCTGTCCAATGGCCATGCATGGCATGGATGGAGGCCTTTATAAGGCTCCACATTCTTGAGAATGTGTAGCTAAGCTCGTTTCTTTCCTTCTTGGCTCTTTGTCCATTGCGAATCTAATCTATTGTCTAGCGAGCGAGCGAGCGAGAAATCTCTCGCGCGCGCCTCACACACATAAGATTTTGAGGCAGGCGTTGGCCTGCTGGCCGGTGGCGAGCTCGCGATCTTGATTGAGAGCTCTCGCTCTCTCTCTCTCTCTCTCTCTCCTCGCATCGCCTCGCCTCGCCGTCCAGCAGGCCAATACCTCACTCGAGATCTTGTTGGAATTCGGTGCTAGCTTTTCGCAATTTGATCTGTGTGGATTTCTCTGTGCCTCCGAGCCCGGATCCGGCAATGGACAGTATTGAGCGTGGCTGGAGTGGGATTTTTAAGCTACCTAGATCTGATTCATGACAACATCCTTTGTTTTGATTTTGCAAGGACTGGAGCAAATCCTTTGTTTTTTTCCAGATCGAGGCCCAAATTATCGCTTCGACTGGCGGCGCCGATCCAAATTTTGTAGTCTTTCTATGCCAGATCGATGTTCGTTTCATGTTCCCTTCGGAAAAATATCAATTTGTGATTGTTCTAGTTGAAAAAAGGAATCAAATTTGTTGTCAATCTCCTGGAGAGGAAAAAAAAAATTCCGATTTTGATAGATCCAATCACGAGTACGCATTTGCCAGTAGCACGTACGAGGCAGCGCTCCACGAATCCATGCCAAGAACAGCGCTTCTTTTGGCGAATCCATCCCCTGATCCGGCCAGGAAGCATCGCCAATCCACCGCGTCGGCCGCAAAGGGCATGCTGCCGAGCAAATCCCGCGCACACCCAAGGAATCCCCCTCGTGCCAGCAGATCGATCACGCACGAGTAGTGGCGCTTGCTCGGATCCAGCCCAAAATCCGCGCTCATGCTCCTCAACAAGCCCAGCCCAGTGGAGATCCCCCCCGAGTGGCTGCACGCTCGATTGAGCATCACCAGGAACACGACCGCGTCGGGGGTCTCCTCCAATTGGAGCTCCCGGAACGAATCCAGCGCGCGCGCGCGGGATTGCGCCGAGATGAGCGCCGTCCACGACGAGAGATTGCGCTCGTGCATCTCGTCAAACAGCTCCTTGGCACCCCGGGCGTCGCCCTGCGCCGCCATCGCCGAGAGCATCGAGTTCCAGGACACGAGATCGCGCTCCTCCATGGCATCGAACACCATCCTGGCCTCGCCCAGCTGCCCCGCGCTGATCAATCCACACAGCAAAACGTTCACCGACACGAGATTGCGCTGCGGCATGGAGTCGAAGACGCGCCTCCACTGGAGATCATCGCCGCTGTTCTTGGCGTAAGCGGCGAGTAGCGCGTTCCAGGACACGACGTTCCATCGCTGCATGGAATCAAACGTGCACTGAGCCATCTCGATCTGCCCCCGCTGCGAATACGCAACCAGCATGAGATTCCACGTCACAAGATTCCTCTCCAGCATTCTCTGGAACACTGCCGCCACCTTTTGCAATTGCCCGTGCAGCCCATACGCAGCCAGCATGGCGTTTCCAGAAACAACATCATGAACCCTCATGTCACGAAACACACGCTCGGCTTTCAGAACATGCCCACTCGCGGCATATGCAGAGAGCATAGAGTTCCACGAAACCACGTCCCGTTCTTCCATGGCGGCAAACACTGCTTCCGCGGAAGCAAGCTCGCCGTTGATGGCGTAACCGGTTAGCATGGCGTTCCAGGAAACTAGGTCGTGCCAGGGCATCGAATCAAACACTGCTTTTGCCTGGTAGAGATGCCCGTGCCGGGCATATGCGCTGAGCATAGCCGTGGCAGCGATTAGGGTTCTTTCTTCCATGCGCTCCAGCGCGCGCATCGCCTCGTCGAGGTTCTCCCCCTCGGCATACGATCGCAGCAGTGTGATGTGTGAGACTAGATCCCATTCTGGCATCGCGTCGAAGATCTCCTTGGCGGATTGCAAATGCCCGGACTGGGCAGCCGCGCAGAGGATCGCGTTGTGGGCGACGAGGTTGTGGAGCGGCATTTGATCGAAGATCTCACGGGCTTGGTCGGGTCTGTGGTTGCGAGCGTAGGCCCAGAGCATGAGCGCCCAAGAGAAGATGTTCTTCGCGGCGGGAGGGATGGTGAGGAAGGCGGCGTGGGCGATCCCCGGCTCGCCCAGCCGTCCATACATCTCGATGAGGAGATTGGAGACGTAGCGCGATGGGCGGAGGATTCGGGAGTGGAGGTCTCTGGCGGCCAAGAGTGTGTGACACGATCTGATGCGGGACGCCCAGGACAAATCCTCTCCGCCCATGCCAAATGCCGCATTTTCGCCCGGCCCAAGAACCCTTAAATCGAGAAAGGATTTTCCTTGAAGGTCAAACTTTCTGGCACACTTTGATTGCGTTCCAGGCAATCTGGTGCTTGTCTCGGACCTATCGAACAAGCTCTTGGATTCTTCGAGATGACCGAAGCTCACGTAGGCAGTGAGCATGGAGACGACGTTAAACTCCGGCATGGAATCAAACAGCGTTTCAAGTGCTTTTCTCGAGCTGGAAGGTGGCGCAGAAGATCGAGAGTATTATGTTCCAGGAGGTGATTTCTCTCGACAGCATCGCATCAAACAGGCTCTTTGTCCGAGAGACGTCCTCGTGGTGTGCATAGGCGCCCTGGATGTTGTTCACGGGTAAGGCATTTTGTCGAAGATCTTCTTTCCTTGCGGGAGCTGACGAGCCCGGTTGTGCGCAGGAGATTGCAAGACAAAAGGTCTTGCTCCGGCATGGATCATTAATCCCAGCATCGAGTTCCAGGACGACCCGCTGTTTCATCCCCTGAAAGAAAATGATGGCTTTCTCTCGCCATAGCTGTTTAGCATCGCATTGTTGCAGACGAGGTCCCAGCTTGGCTTTCTCGACGTAGCCTCTTTGAGCGTAGGCGACGAGCAAAGCTGTCCACGAGACTGTGTTCCAGAGGGGTATTAGTTAAAAGAGGCGGTCGAGTTCTTCCAAATCGCCATCGTGCGTTCCACGCGACCAGATCTTTGTCGGGCATAGTTAGGCATCATCAAGATGCAAGAATAGCAGCTGTAGAAACTGTGTCTCGCTATGGCATTGAATCGAAAAATTCTTTTACTTGCAAAAGATCGCTATTGTTGATCATGTACGAGACCAAGGATGAAAGAGAATACATCATTAATATGCCCCTTAAGGGCACATGCTGTAAAGACTCTGATCGGAAGAGTTCCTTGCATTCCTCTTATCCCGCTCCAGGAGTCGAGCAGTACCTGGTGATTCGTGATGTTCGCGTCGAGGAACTTGTCCAGGCGATCCTCGAGATAGTGCGGCTTCCAGCATACCTTGCTATGGATTTGAGAGCAGCTATCAATGGGGACGCCATTGATAGCTCGACCTCATCCTGCCAAAAACCCTGGAGAATGGCCAATTGGCACTGGGTCTTGGATGTTATCCATTAATACGGCAGAAGTAATCTCCGTTAGAACAACAGCAGCCAGGAATTGATGCGCTTTCTCACTTCTCGCCCGTCCCCTCTGCTAGTAACTCCCGCCGTGACACCATCCGAGCTATTGCTTCCCATGCCACGTCTCCAACACCACTGTGAAGGGTCCTTCTGTACAAGTGTGAGAGCACTGCTTCACACCAGAGAATGCAATTGAATGGCGGCAGCCATCACCCAATATGCATTGAAAGGGAAAGAGAACAGCACAGACGAGAGAGAGGATAGAGAGAGCAAAATAACCCTCGTCTTATATACTTTCCATGGCAGTAAACCACTTTGAGTCGCAGGCGAGGAGTGTCTTCGATTCCATCGCGCCCAGTGTATGCCCGCCACGGGCATCTTCACGAGGTTAGGAGCGTCCTTGATGCGTTGCCGGAGTGCGATATCGCGTCCTGGAATTGTCTGGTCTCTTCTGGCCTCTGCTCTTTCTAGCTCCGGTCGATTAGAGGAATGCAAGGAACGTATGCCCGGCCAGAGTAACATCATAATCACAGCATATGCCCGAAAGGGGCATCTTAACGATGCCAAAACAGTATTCTTCTCCATCCTCAAGCTCACCCGAGTCAGCTGCAGCATCCGGTGCACCAGCAGGGGCTGACGGTAGCTCCCACGCCGTTTCTCACACAAAGTTCTGGTGGAATGCGTCACTTTGGGAACCCAAGCTTGTGTGGAAGCACTGAGCAAAGCATGCTTCAATCCTTGCAATCACGGTGTCAATCCCGAGGATTGTCAAGGCGTGAACGTCAATGGTGGGACGAGTCTGATTGCGTTTGGAGTTGGCTGCTTCATTGGCTTCTTCTTGTACGTAGTGGGTATTAGTATGCCAGCCTTGTTTGCATGTTAGTCACGAGAACAAACTCGTGATCAAATAGAATGCTCACAGGCTCTCAATCCCACCACCATGCATATTAAGTTAAGCCTTCATGGCAGCTTTGGACCAGAAGTAGCAGCTTCTACACAGGAGGTTTTTCATCCATCACCTTTCTATGAATTTGAGGATCTTCTTTGTGGAACAGTGAACACAAACAAATTCATGCCTGAAAGAACACCAACACAAACTCCAAGAAAGAACGAATTAAACTTGGATTAACAATGTCTCCTCAACCTCTTTGATTCCCCATGGAGAGTTCTACGTGAGGATATCAGCTGGATCTCTTTGACCAAATGGAGGCACAATGCCTTTGTTCTCTCCACAGTTCTCGGCATCTGCTCAGTGCTGCACGATCTGGACCGCAGCGAGCGCATGCACTAGCAGATCCAGCGGCAGCAGGGTGATCTTGAGGTGGTCTTGAGATCTCTGGCCGCCGAGAGTGTGTGACACGATCTGATGCGGGATGCCCAGGACAAATCCTCTCCGCCCATGCCAAATGCCGTGTTTTCGCCGTGCCCAAGAACCCTAAAATCTGGAAGAAAGGAGTGGAGATTTTCCTTGTTCCTTCCACTCCGCGACGCGTTTGCGCGCAAGCTTAAGCAAGGCGCGATCTCGCTAGGGCAGCGGCAGCGATCGATCGGCTATGGAGCATTTCGCGAAGGCGAAGACGGTCCGGCTGAGGAGCTCGCACGGGAAGTACCTGTGGGCCGAGGAAGACATGGTGGGCGTGTCGCAGGAGCGCGATTCCGGTGAGATGGCGGTGTGGGAGGTGGAGATCGCCGAGAGCTCTGGGGAAGACTGTGGTGTGGTCCGGCTCAAGAGCGCGCTGGGCTGCTACCTCACGGCCTCGGACGAGCACTTCCTCCTGGGAATGACGGGCAAGAAGGTGTTGCAGAGCGCGCGCGACAATCAATCGCTGGAATCGCTGGTGGAGTGGGAGCCCATCGCGGCGGGCGAGGTAGGCTCTTTTGTCAAGCTCAAGACGCGCCATGGCAACTTCCTGCGCGGCAATGGCGGGATTCCTCCATGGAGGAACTCGGTCACGCACGACGTGCCCGTAAGATCTGCGACCCAGAGCTGGCTCCTCTGGGAGGTGGAGGTGGTCGAATCCAAGACCCAACACCAGCACCAACACCACCAGCGATCCAAGAGCTCCTTCTCGGTAAGAGGTCCCTGCCAATTCCACGATCGATCGATGGAATCCTTGTGTTCTTCTTGTGCCAGGCGACGCCCCAGCTCTCTTTCAAGATCCCCAAATCCGAGGGGAGGCTCATACGCTACGCGGTGGTGTGGGACAAGAGCGAAACCATTCCAGTTCCTTGCAAGGAGTGGCCCAGATTTCACTTCCACGGGGGTAATACTCTCGCGGATCTCACCACCGCGATCAAGGAGGAGCTGGGGCTTGATCCGAGCGAAGAGGTGCTCGTCTGCTCTAGGCACGATGCCAGCGGCAAGATCTTCCCGCTCAAGCTTGGGCTTCCCCCAAACAATGCGCCTATGAGCCTGGTGATTGTCAGGTCTCCTCCTCCACAATGATACCAGCAGACCTTGTTTTCACCATCGCCATGCTCGCTGAAGCGTACCTAGATCGAGCACAAAATGTTCAATATACTAGAGTTAGACAGGGATCCCCCTCTCCCCCACACTATTTGGCTTGTCCATGGATGGGCTTGAGCAAGTCAAGCACCCTTCCCAATTGTCCTTGCAGGAGAGAGACGATACACCTCCAATAACTTACAATCGACGGTATGCCACCCCTTCGTTTTTACGTCATCCAGATTGCTACTTGGGAAGCCTTCCTGCCTGAGGAGCGCGATCTCACTGGACTCATCTTCGACTCCTCAAATCCTTTGTGATTCATCTTCGCTGGTGTGAAAGCCAGAAGACCTGCTAGGAAGCAAAGGACCCATAGGTCTAGATCCTGGTTCACATCGTCGTAGCTTAGCTGTGGTAATCGAGAGGTTCCGCCTTTGGTCCTAAAGAGTCGCTGTTAGATCCACAAGGACGTATAGAAGAAACTCAGTCTTTCCAATCCCTGGATTCCCCATGACCAGGATCTAGTTCTTGTCGTTGGGGTTTGCCAAGACCACGACTTGTATCTTGTTGCTTATAGCACCGCCTCTCCAAAATCTTCATATTGCTGAAGAGATCGAGAAGCGGCAAAGCAAGAAATCGATAATTGTCGGAATTAGCCTGATGGGACCAGAAATTGTTATTTGAAATATCGAGTACCTGTAACTGTTTCATGTTCCATATCCAGTTTGGAATGTTACCACTAAATTGAATATTTCTGACGCTTAAGACTGTCACGCCACCTCCAGAGAAATATCTGTTAGAGTTTAGTAGCACAGCTGCAGTAAGTAGTTGGGAAGTAGAGTTGAGGTTGTTAATATTTTTTGTCAAATGATTATAACCATGTGAAAGTGTGTTTTAATTTAGGGCAAAAGAGGAGATTCATTAAGATATTCCTTTGTGATTTGGTTATGGAATAAAAGATATAAAGAGGAGGTTAAACTGTGCTTAAAGTGTTTAAATGTGTTTAATAGTGATCTTGTAGATTTTAGAATGGAGAGCATTTTCTAGAGAGATCTCACGACTTGCCAATGGCAACACAATGGCTTTAAGCTTGTGTGTAAGTATTCCACAGCTTGCTAGTGGCAACATAGTGGCCCTGGAATAATAATCTTAAATCTAAAAGTGTTCTTAAAAGTTAGATTTTCATGATATTTTTTTGTAAGGATTGAGTGGTTTTGAGGGAGAATTTTGGAGTAGAGAGAGTGCTTTATGACCTATTAGTGACAATGTAGTGGCTTTGAGCAAATTTAAAAGATAGAAAAGTGTCCTTAGTCTCTTTCCTACAAGGGTGTATGACAAGAGGTAATTAAGGGCAATTGCATTTTATTTGGCACTTTGGAGCTTCCATCCTACAAGTTCCAGGGTGGCTTGTGGCTGGCCAGTGGAAACACAATGGCCCTCTCTCCTTTAAGTGTCCTTCTTCATCCTCTTTTGTGTGGGATTCCTCTTGCTCAGCAACATGGAATTGAGGCTCTTAACTCAATTGATTGGTCTTTTAATGAGTAAATTAAGTAGCCTTGGATTTGCCTAGTTACCTTTGCTATAGACACTTCTGTGTTTTTTTTAAGGGACTTGCCCAAATGGGCCATATGGTGGATTTGGGATATTTTGGGGATTTAATTTGACTGGTTGGTCTTTTTATTTGCCCACATAGGCCATATGGTGGATTTGGGATATTCTGTAAACATGTGGGTGAATGCAATTGTTCAGCACACCTATGTGGTGCAAGCACCTTAAGGACAATAAAAGTTTCCACTAATATGAGTGGATGCATACAGAAACTTTAGTTTATATATAGTGGTTGAGATTAAAACCAATTCAACTACTGTTCTAATAATAGTATAGCTATAACAAAATATGTTTATAAATATAAATACAAGATTAATCTAAATAAGAATATCCTAGAATATTTAAGTATATTTATATCCTATGTGTGTGTATGTATATATATATATATATATATATATATATATAACACTTTAAAAATAAGTTAATAAAAGTTGGTAGATCAATGTTCTAAATGTGGATGGAGATCTTTGGGTCAATTACAAAACATTCTCTATACCTTTTTTAAATGACACTTTATGGTATTATAATTATTCTTATGGGATGGTATTATTATATTGCAGTACTATGATGACATAATTTGTTGCTGTAAGGCTTGAGCACTCACATTACATGTTGCATGCAACAATGTTTTGTTTATTTAATAGTAATGTTATTCATGTTTAGTATTATTTATTAATCCAATTGATAAATATATAATTCAATAAAAATTTCTAAAAGCTTTACTAGAAGAGAAGTTGATATAAAGCTGAACAAGTATTATCACATATTATGGGCATAAACACAAGCCACATTTTTATTCAATGATTATATGCCAAAATTAAGTTTAATGAGAGTTCTAAGCTTATATTTGACTAGTGACCTTTATATAATATTCTACAATAAACTCTTTGAGTAACCATGTAACTGCATCTCTTTAATTAATTAGATAGCTTTGTAATAACCATATTGTGAGTGCTCACAATCTAGCTTTACTCAAAAATATATTTCATTTTAAGCTAAAAAATGTGCCTTATTGTGTTTAATTTGAATTTTATAATTATAAATATATTTATAATTTTTTATATCAAATATCAGATTTTAGAATAAATTAGAAGTGTTAAGAAAAGTTTATACATTATAAATATATTTATAGTTGTTAAATAGAAGAATAATATAAATGAATAACAGCACTTATATGTAAAATATCCCAAAATATCCCAGCATAGTCCCAAAACATATTAAAACTTTTCCAAAAATCTGAAATAGAACCTCACATTGTAAACTATGAAATATATGAAACTCTACCACCAAATTCAGCCATTAATTACTTTCAACTCATAACATTTTTTGAAAATGGCCATAAGGGTTCAAGTTTCTTTTGGAAGGGTTGCTCAAAATTTATGAAGACTTTTTTTCCCTCAAGGTTGGACATATTCTGATCTAAGACCAGATACATATAGTGAAAATGCTTTTATATTTGAATCCTTTCTCAAACCCTTTGATTGCTCACAAAACAATTCATCACTACACTATCACCAAAGTGATTTGATGTTCGTAACGTTTAATGATGGTCGTTGTCCAATAGAAGCTCAAATTTGGTCCATAACGTAATTTCTAAATATTTTAGATAAAGGAATAAAATGTTTCCCAGTTATGACTTCTTGGTTATGTTTTAGCTAATAGGGCATTTCAGATCATACATTAAAGAACAGATCTAAACTAATCACTTCTTACAATTCTTCTTGTCGCAATTCAGTGAGCTGTTTTTGTTCTTGAGAACCTCGTCTAGAGGTGGTCTGCCTGGATTAAACCAAATTAAAGACAATAAATTTGAAAAAGCTTTACAATACCTGTAATTGGAAGCCTGTACTTGGCCCACACATTGTACAATGCATTTGCAATGGTTGAGAACTTGCAAAAAGATTTCAGTCGTAGTACGTAACAAGGTTAAAAAGATAGAAACCACTGAGCTTACAGGTTCGTAGTTCGTGATTGCGTAAACCCATCCAAGTCCCACAGCCTCATATAATTTCTTAAAAGCCTGCAAAAGAGATTCAAAACGAAGAAAATAATTTTTTTTAAAACGCAATACCTCGACATTAGTGAACACCTTGCCGTCATTGGAAATCACATGAACTCTCCCCATTGCCTGTGAAAATAGATAGATAACTATCACCGAGATAGAGATCTCGCTGATCTCAAAGAAGGAAAATGAAAATCATGAAGAGAAGTTACAGCTTCGTAGTCGATTCCAGCATTTTGATGTGGGGAGTACTCGTTAGCACTGATATCCACAAATTTGATGGATTGGTATTGTGTGTTTCTCTTGCGCAGCATGTCCACCTATGGTGATCATATGCAAATAATAAAAACGATGCCAGCCAAAAGAACGAAAAAAACCTCTCGGAGACAAAGAGGACACTCCCCATCATACAACATTTTAAGCTCCCACTGATCACTGGTAGTATGGGGGTTGCCAGAAGAAGAAGAGAGGGCTGGGAAAGAAATCGTGGATTAGAATGTCATGTAGCGATGAATCATACCAAAGAATTTCTTCCTGGGAGAATTTGGACCAATTCCTCTCCATTCGCTCGCTCGACGCAGCGGCCTCGCTCCCAAAGTCGAGACTTGCCTCAACATTAGTATCTCCCAAAAACCCTAAAATTCTTACTTTGTAAGCATCCACGAGGATGCTTGGAGAGGATGCGTCTTCCCTGGCGATGGCGCGATCGCCAGGGAAGACCGGTGATGGCACAACCAATGCAGTGCACAAGGTTTGTCATCTTGCATCGTAGCCATGGATCCGGCGGCGCCCAAATCGAAAATGCTCGTGGCACTGGAATATCAGCAGAGGCGCGGGATTTCTACGAGAAAATCCGGCTGGCACCGACGATCCCCGGCTACATTGCGGCGATCAAGGCGTGCAGCAGCTCCAGGGATCTCCTCACGGGCGACAGGATTCACGGCGACCTCCGCGCCAGCGCGATGATCGACGATCCCTCCTTGGCCAGCAGCTTGGTGGAGATGTATGGGCGATGCGGCAGTGTAGCACGGGCCCGGGAGGTTTTCGACGCGATCCAGCGTCCCAGCTTGGCTAGCTGGAGCTCCATGGTCATGGCTTGTGCTCACAGTGGACATGGCGAGCTAGCGCTGGAATTTTTCTCTCGCATGGAAGACCGTGGCCTCCGCCCGGATGCTCGCTGCTTCATCGCTGCTCTTAAAGCTTGTGCCATTCTAGCGGAGAAAGAGAAGCACGGCACCACCACCGCCGCCGCCGCTGATCCAGCGCGAAGAATCAAGGCCACGACCAAGAAGAGTTTGGAGAGAGGCATGGCTCTCCACTCTCAGCTCCAAAAGCTCGGACTGGAAGAAGACATCTTCGTGGCGAGCACGCTGGTGGACATGTACGCCAAGTGTGGAAGCATGGCGAGCTCGCGAGCGGTGTTCGAGAGGATGGCTGCCAGGAACACGGTCGCCTGGAACGCGATCATCATGGGATACGCGCAGGCTGGCGCTGGTTGCGAGGCCCTGGAGCTCTTTGCGAGGATGCAGCACGAGGGAACCCTCCCAGACTCGAGAACTTTTGTGGCGGCTTTCAAGGCTTGCATGAGTCTGATGGGAGGAGCGTCGAGGATGGCGGGCTTGAGCAGAGCTATGGCGATCCACGGCGAGCTCGAGAAGCTGGGACTGGTAGCCTCCAACACGTATCTCGCGAACAGCGTCATGGATATGTACTCCAAGCTGGGAAGAATGGCGGACGCTCGCAAAGTCTTCGACGGCATGAGGAGCCGGAGTTTGGTGTCGTGGAACACTCTCATCGCCGGCTACGGTCAGAGTGGCGATGGCGCGGTGGCTCTCGCCATGTTTTCGAGAATGCGGGACGAGGGACTCGAGCCGGACGCGCTGACGTTCATCGCGGTGATCAATGCCTGTGCGCTGCTGGCCGCTCGCGAAGAAGGTACGCTCGTTGGTCGCAAAGTTGTAAAGCCGGTGTCACTTGCTAAAGGCGTGAGCATCCACTCGCAGGCTGGACGGCACGAGCTGGAGAACACCTTCGTCGCAAACTCGCTCGTCGACATGTACGCCAAGTGTGGGAGCCTGGACAACGCTCGGCGCGTCTTCGATCGAATGCCCCGGCACACCACCGTCTCCTGGAACTCGATGATCACGGGGTACGTCCAAGGTGGCGAGCCCGAGACGGCGCTGACGCTGCTGGAGGTGATGCGCGACCGAGGCTTCGTGCCGGACGCTCGGACGTATCTCGCGGCCGTGAACGCAGTTGCGAGCCTGGCGGACAGGGAAGAACCCGAGCTAGTCGAGCAGCGTCCCGTGAAGCTGGCGTGCCTGGAGAGAGGCCTCGAGACGCACTCGCGGCTGGCGAGAGCGGGCTTCCAGTCGGACAAGTTCGTGGCGAGCGCGCTGGTTGACATGTACTCCAAGTGCGGCAGCATGGCGGACGCGCAGCGAGTCTTCGACCGGATGCCGCACAGAGACTCGGTGTGCTGGACGGTGCTCATCCTCGGCTACGCTTTAAGTGGCGACGAGCAGGCGGCGCTGGAGCTTCTCTCCCGGATGCACGAGGAAGGATACACTCCGAACGCTCTCACGTACGCTGCGGCGCTCAACGCTTGCATGAGCCTGGCTTCCAGAGAAGCACCCGGCCGCTGCCTGGAACTAGCTGCGGCGATTCACTCCCAGATCTCCAAGAGCGGCTGCGAGTCGGACGTCCTGGTGGCGAGCACGCTGGTGGGCATGTACTGCAAGTGTGGGAGCCTGGTGGACGCGCGGAGAGTCTTCGACCGGATGGAGAGGCACGACGTTGTCTCGTGGACGACGCTGATGCTCGGATACGTCCAGGCGGAGCAAGCACCGGCTGCGCTGGATCTCTTCTCGCGGATGCAGCAAGTCCAAGGCCTGGTACCCGACGCTCCAACTTACGCCGCCGCGCTCCGGGCCTGCGGGAGCTCCACGGCTCTGGAGACCGGAAGGGCCATCCACCAGCAGATCCGTCACGCCGAGATGGAAGCCGAGGTGGTCGTCGTGAATTCTCTGCTGGGCTTCTACGGACGGTGCGGCTGCATGGCGGAAGCTTGCGAAGTTTTCGACTCGGCGGCCAGCGCGGGACGCGACGCCGTGACCTGGAACGCGATCATCGCTGGCTACTGCCACCAGGGAGACGTAGCCTCGGCTCTCAGGCTCTTCGAGCGGATGCTGGAAGATCACTGGCAGCCGGACGGTGTCACTTTCCTTTCGCTGCTGACGGCGTGCTGCCATGCCGGGCTGGTGGACAAGGGGAAGGAGTTGTTCCGGCTCATGGTCTCGGACTACGCCATCGTGCCTGGCATCGAGCACTACAGCTGCGCGGTGGATCTTCTCGGGCGGGCCAACCAGGTGGACGAAGCTCTGGCGGTGGTGACCAGCATCCCCGTGGCACCCGACTTGAAGCTATGGATGACAGTGCTGGACGCTTGCGGGAAGTGGAGCAACTGGGAGGCTGGAAGGGTGGCGTTTGAGTCCATCCAGCTGCTGCTGGATCACAGGGATCACTCGGCTGCGTACGTGCTGATGTCCCGGACGTATCTTGCGCTGGAGCTGGAAGCGCGAGATCTTGACGAAACTTGGAAGAATGCATCTGTTAGAGAATTTGCATAGAAAAACTAACTTGATTATGATATCACAAAGATGTCGGCCTTTTCTAGTGTTCGTCGTTTCTCGCGTATTATTTTACTCCGCTCCATCCTTATGGGAGTCACGAGTTCTCTTTCGAGTATTGTACACCTGAGAGAAAAGAAGACCCCCTTAGAAGCACGAATTGGAGAAAAGGAAAGAGATATGTTTACCTCTGAAGAGAGCCTTTCGAAACATTACAAGACGACTACTCTAGCTTCGGACGCTTCGGCGCGGGAGACTGAGGGTCGGATGGAAGGATATTTTGGTCGCCATTCGTTGCGTCCTGGTCGAGCGTGGCATCGTTGCTCGGTGGGGAGTCATCGTTGTTCGCTGCATCGGTGTTGGTGTTGCTTAACGCCCCGGTGACAAACGAGTCGCTCATTAGTGAGGGCTCTTGAAACTCAAGCCTTCGCCTGCGGGGAACGATGAAGTTACAAGGGCCAACCAAATCGATGTGAGCAACTTACCCGTTTGATAGATTTAGGCGACAGTTGATGACGGTAAGGTCCTTGGAGGGGCTTTGATAAGCGTGAGTGCTTTCACCCACGCACGCATACAAGCTTCTGGAATGAGGAGACATGATGTTTTCAACCTGTTGATGGAAACCGATCATTAGTTACAATGAAAAATGCAAAAAGACCCGACTCAGACCTTGGTGTTTCGAAGAGGTGAGACAAAGACGTTGTGCCTGGCAGATACTTTTCTCGGAGACATATCGGGAATCGCTGGGAACACCGATGGCCTCGGGGGAGAGCTGGGTGCTACGTATCAGAAAACCAGAGCTCAGAAATTACGAATACGCAAATTCACAAACTACCTTCGTCTGTCGCAGTGCCTTTGCCTGCCACCATGGATGCGGGTCGTGCAGCGATGTTCATTAAAAAGGCCTTCGTTGCAGGAACATAGATTTCATTGTAAAATTTTATGATATCCCCCATGTCTGTTCTCTGTCAAACACAAACAGCAAAAAGTTTAACGCACACGAACCCAATAAATCTATTTACCCCACGCCGCTGTTCAAGATAGACATTCCTGAAAACATGGTTTCTGCTTTGAGGCTGTTTCCGATATTGGAAAATGATGTCCCTGAATGTCACGTTGAGCTTCATAACCTGCACTTATACGCATGAGAAGAAACACATGCTGACAACAATCCTAACCTTGCATACGCCATACATGCTACACAATATTATTTGATCAATATGCCGGTTGAAGAAGATGGTAGTCCGGTTCAGTGCATACTCGAAGACCTGGAAGATTTGCTCAACCACATGACTAGGCTGTGAAAGACGTTCACATAGAACTTTGATTCGGCTAGCAGCGAGCTTCAACACCTGCGGGCCGAAACACCCAGTCAAAACCAAATGCTAATGTTTGTAGCGCTCCACCTTTTGAAAAAACACGTTCATCACGGCCTCTGCACACGTTTCTCCAGAAGCATGAGGATTCGGTTTCTGAGGACTGAAGGAGGAATTGTCAGTACAACGTCCAAAAAGAAGTCCTTTCATGTACCTTGCAAATACAGATTGAAGATGGAAAAGGTTCCGTTTTCCCGAACCCGAGTTGAAAGCTGAAAATGCAGACGGCCTTTCCTTGACCGGGGATGGTATACAAGTTAGTGTTTGCTCCCCGGACAACAACGGCTCTCTATCTGGAGAATTTGCATCTGGAAACAATAAAGTTAGCATGAATTCGGCTAAGTAAATAGAACTCACCAGGCATATCTTCTCCTTTGGACTCCCGTCGTGAAGACAATGTCTCCAACGATGGCATTGGCTCAGCCATAAGTTCTAGGCGCCTTATTTCGTCTCCAAACCTTGGCCGTGCGACAATAAGTGAGTTGTACATCGACGAGCCCTTCTCCCAAGCCATGCTTTCCAGAAGTCGCTCTTCAATGGAATTTAAGTGCCGCTTGAGTTCCCTTGGAAGAGTTTCTTCGTGTCTGACGAAAGACTCTATCACTTTGCTCATGTCGAATGCGGTTATCCCAGTCGGTCCTAGAACAGCAGGAAACGACAGAATAACCGTCTTGTGAGTCGCTAGGACCAACTCTCCCGAGCAAGCCAGCATACACCGATGGAACTTCTCGCTTGTCAACACGGACGTCAAATTCTTACTTTGCAGCCTCAAAGACTCGGCGTGGCAGAGTGCAGTTAAAACTCTGTAGTAAAGCTTGGAAGCCTCGGACCTTCTCTGCACTGCCCATTCCAAACTTCCACTGCTATGGAGAGTGGCTTTCCAGCTACCAGGAGAATAGATGGGAAATATTGCCTCAAGTATAACCTTAGCCCTGTGTGTCACCTCCTCCGTTATGTCCCGGTCACAGGATCTAAGATACTCCAATAACTCTGTGCTTGGCTCTGAAGGCAATGGTGCTATAACAGTTCGTAACCACTTTGCTGTTGTCATTGTTACGCTGACAGGTGTTGGTGGTGGCATCTTAGCTGCCGTAATCATAGCCAGTGAAGAGCGTGGTGAGGACGTCGAAGACAAAGTTTGTTGCAAAGAAGACACTTGAGCATCTTTCTCCCGGTGCTGTAAGCAGAAAGGTGTCAAAAGTTTTCATTTAGAAAAACGAATAACGTACCAACAGAGTAAGGCTAGGCTCTGCAAAGAGCTCGTATCCTTCCTCTCCACTGGATTCATATTGTTTCTCCAATGTTAGCAAATTTGCAGCAATCATATTATCTTCCATCAGTCCTTCAAAGTAGACTAGACCATCTGGAAAAAAAAGATGATCAAAACCGGAACCTCAGTTCAAATATATTACCAGAACTGAAACCTTGCAAATTGCTGACAGAACTGCAGTCACTCGTACTAGGTAAGTTCGGAAAAATGCTGGAAATCATGTCTTGTATATTCTTCAGCACGGACATAACATCTTTTTCATCAGCCTCTCCCACACTGCAGAGAGAGGATATAAGTTTAACACCATCCGCATCTCTTTTCGCTGGAAACGAGATCAGTCAATTTGGTGCGAATAAAGGCACGAGCAAAACGTACGAAATAGAGACTTGTTCTCCAGAGAATAAGATCTCAAGGACGCTGGCATATGAACGATCATGACGGCCTGTTTGTGAGAAAGTCAGATGACGAAGATTCAACGTTGGCAGAATGGCTTACCACGACACCCAGGAGTGCGTTCGTACATGTTACAAGGTCAGGAAACCGACCAAGAACGTGAACCCTAGCAGCCAGAAAGAGAAACCATCCAAACCTCTGATGGATGCTTATTTCATCGCTTTCAGACTCCGCGGGCTCAAAATATTGTGGAAAGGTCCTCTTATAATAGCTGCAGACATATCGTCAGAACCAGGAACTTAAAACCATACGAATCATCGCTCACTTGAACAGAACCATCAGGTGCACAAAAGTTGCCTGGTCTTCCTTAGCCTGACAGAAGGTACAAAGCAATCAATACGCCAGTAGAAGAGAAACTGTATACCTGAAGATCGCCTTGGAATTCTGCCCCGTAAACGCTCTTCAAGGTTGGCGCACATTTCTTTAAGAACTGTGTGATCTCCCGGAAAAATTCCACAACACTGTTCATTGTCATGTTAGGAACGAAAGGAAAAGAAAAAAAAATAAGGAGACGCACCTCAGGTTGGTCACACGAAGAACTTGCGTGAGTGTGAAGATAGGAACCTCTCTTCTATCCAGCTTCTTCACGACGTAAAGAATTCCCGCCATCCATATACGCTCGGCCTCATCGACCTAAAAGAAAAACGTTAATAAAACATTAAAAAAGAGGAAAGTGTGTTACCGAGCCACCGAGCAGTGACGAATCCCGCAGTGGAGCGACCAAACCATACAGCCTTAGCGCCTTCTCCAGAGAAATCTCGTCGAGGGATAGCCTTGTCTGCCAGATTCCCAGGAGAATGGAAGAATTCAGCAATCTAAACGGCAAATCCAAGTAATTCAGACCTCGCAGAACTCCCTGAATCGAGCCTCGCCATCCAGCGCCGCGCCGTTGCCATTAGACGCGGCGGCAGGGGAAGCAGCGGCAGCGCCAGCACTCGATCGCGCTTGTTCCTCGCCCGGCATTCTACCCTACTGCCGTCCTAGCGGCACCTGGAAATTCCAGCCCCGGATCTAGCTAGGAGACGCCACAACGAAGAACCCTAGAGAGCTAAGCGAGGGAAATGAAGCAACATGGCGGGAAAGAACCGACCTACTCGGCAAGCGTGCATAAGAAGCTTGCGTGAGAGAAAAAATAAAGGAGTTTGTTGGAATATTCGTTGAACACTCATTGACAAAAATATTTAAAGGAAACTCTCTCATTTAATCTCTTTTGACTTATTTTTTCCGTTAAACTGATACCGCAGGGATGTCGATGGTCATGCCGGCTTGGATTTGTCCCCAGCCGATCAAACGCCAGTGCTTCTCCACTCTCCGGCTCAATGCCACTTTCTCGCCTTTGCTCGTGCAAACCGGGGACGTGAGTTGGAGCTTGGCCAGATCGTTCTTCACGGCCAGGACGCGAGCTCCCGTCGACATTGATCCGATGTTGAGCATCAACATCTCTCCTTTGGCGAGCTTGGAGACCTTCTCTTGCTTCTCCGACCCTTTAGTTCTTACTCCCAGGAGCCGACGCAATAGAAAGAAGTTCACCTGAAAGTTTAAACCAGCTTAGCTCCCCTCTTCTCAAAGCAAAGCAAAAGCGAGTACCTCGAGCTCTACAAACACGTCCGGAAGAGCTCCCACTTCTCCAAGCACCTGACCGACGAGTCTGTCAGCCCGAGTGAGCGTCGGATCGATCGTCGTGCCGACACCGATGAGGCCTCCAGGCACCGCGAACTGGAGCTCGTTCTGCTCCGCAAAGAGCGAGACGATTCGGGAGAAGATCGGTGTGCATTTGATGTTTCCTTTGTCATCCTTTGCCACGATCCCGGGACGGACTTCCACCTTCTGTCCCAGCTTTAGAACACCCTGGACGAGGAAACGCGAAAACGAGTGAGTAGTTGCAGCTGCAAGTTTTAGATTTTACACGTACCCTGAGAATACTCCCGCCAGCCACTCCGCCCTTGATTTCGTCCACCTCCGCTCCCGGCTTGTTCACGTCGAAAGATCTGATGACAATCATGTTTGGTGGGGAGATGAAGTCACGCTCCGGAATGGGAATCTTCTTCACGATGTATTCACAAACAACGTCGACGTTGTACTTGAGTTGCGCTGAAACAGGCACCACTGGAGCGTTATCGGCGACGGTGCCCTGCAGAGCCGAAACTAAGAACGGTGTCTGCAAGGAGGAAAGAAAACGAGCGGACATACCTGGATAAACTTCTTGATGGCATCATATTGGTTAAGTGCCACGCTTTCCTGGATCAAGTCGATCTTGTTTTGGAGAATGATAATGTGCTTTAAGCGCATGATCTCCACAGCCGCAAGATGCTCGGAAGTTTGCGGCTGCGGGCAGCTTTCGTTGCTGGCAATCAAAAGCAAAGCGCCGTCCATGATCGCAGCACCATTAAGCATCGTAGCCATGAGAATATCATGTCCCTGAAAGTCTTCGTAAGAACAGCTAGAAGAAAACGAAAACTACGACGAACTTACAGGACAATCCACGAAAGACACATGCCTCTTGAGCACCATCCGGCAGTTCTCGAATCCAGGAACGTCACAAAAGGGACTATCTTCCTTGCCACTCCCGTAAGCTCTTCAGCACACGGCATAGACTTTAGAACATAGAGAAGATTTCTACAAAGCGCATACTTGTAGCATTTCGGCCGAGGGCATCGCTCGTCTTCACACATGTAAATCTTCGCATTCGCATAGCCGAGCTTGATTGTGATGTTACGCTCCAATTCATTCTTGAAGCGGACAGTCTGAGAAGCAGAACAAAGAATCAAACAAAGAAAACAACATCAACTCGGCACTGGAGACACAAAACAAGCTCTAGATCACCTGGACGCCAGAGATCGCCTTGACGACTGTGGATTTGCCGTGCGCCACATGCCCAATGGTGCCGATATTGATCGTGGCTTGCCTCGAGATGACCTCTGGCGACTGTGGAGTGAGCTTCGCTGCATCCAGCTTTGACAAATCTTGCTCCGTCAATGCTCGCCGCGACGACGACATTGTGCCCTGCCGCGCTTGCGCCGCCTGTCCGAAATGCCCGAACCACAAAACCCTCTGCTCTGTTTGCCCTAATTCCCAAGAACCCTAGTTCTTTGTATGCCGTTGGATCATAGCCCTAACCTTTCGACATTTCTTGGCCGTGGGATCTTTCCTTTTGGGCTCAAATGCAAAGGCTTTCTTCGGCCTTGCCGCATAGATTTCCAATACCCAGGGTTTCCCCTAGCCCGGCGAAGAGTTCTAGGGTTTGTGCGGAGGCGTCGGTGATGGATAGGAAGCGGCGGATGGAGCCGGGTGTCGGCGAAAGCAGCCAGAAGAAGGCGCTTTCGCTGCGCAAGAACAATGCGCGATCCGCGAGGAGCATCAGCTACATCCAGGTTCGATTCACTGCTCTTCCTGCTTTGCGATGCCAATAGCGGCGAGCTACTGCAGATTTTTGGGACTGGAATGGACACGGGAGAGACATCGCCCTGCGTCCTTCTCTTTTTTGATAGCAAGCGGTTTGTTTTCAATGCTGGAGAGGTACGTTGCCAGAGAAGATAGATAGTTCTTACGCGAATGACATCTTTGGCAGGGTTTGCAACGTTTTTGTCAAGAGAACAAGATCAAGTTATCTAAGGCATGGAACGGTGGGATTGTTTTTCGTAACATAGAAGTCCTGACTTCGGCAAAATCAAACTTGGCAGATCGACCACGTTCTTCTTACTCGCGTGTGTTCTGAAACTGCTGGTGGCCTTGCTGGTAATTCATTTTGGCGACATACTCCAGAGCTTGACATTTGAGTATGTTGCAGGGGCGCTTTTAACACTCGCTGGCGACGTTGGCCTAACGGTATGAAGATTTGATTGTGAGCGTGATCCTTGTTTCAATGTTTTCCTTTCTTTCTTGTCAGCTGAACATCTGGGGTCCATCGGACCTGCAATGCCTAATAACTGCGATGTCTACGTACTTGCCAAATGCCTCTTTCTTCTATACGCATGCTTTCGGGAAGGACGGCAAACTCTTGCCTGAGCATGCAAAAGATCCCAATATTGCAGTTCTCCTAGAAGATGATTTGGTGAAGATATCGGCAGTGTTGCTGGTTCCATTCTCGGATGAGCAAGGTGAAGGTAGCAGTAGTTTCTGTTGATTTGTCCCTTTAGAAATCCTTGGCGTGCAGGCAAGAAGTTTAGACCTGGCGATGTCGCTGTAGTGTATGTTTGCGAGCTTCCCGAAGTTAGAGGCAAGTTCGATCCTGTGAAGGCAGCTGCTTTGGGATTGCGTCCAGGTCGAAAGTACGCTTTGCTTCAAAGTGGAACTTCTGTTCTTTCAGATGATGGGACAACAGAGGTAGCGTTTTTCTATTGAGTTTTATGTTCTTTTCACATGCAGAGTTTCAGATTTTTCCGGAGTCTGTCATGGAACCATCATCCCCGGGCCCAAAGGTTATTCTTGTGGACTGCCCGACAAGGTTCCATATTCCGTCTCTGCTGACGGCAAACGGTTTGAAAGGATTGTACACTAGCGATGGCGCCGCGTCTGTGGCGTGCATTGTACACATGAGTCCTGCTATCGTGGTTAACGATAGTAAATACCAGGATTGGATGAGGCTTTTTGGCTCGACTGAACATATACTGGCAGGATCAGGATGGTAAGTTAGCTAAAAAATGAGTACCTTGTTTTTAATGTTTTTCTTCCCGGATTTTTGCAGCTCTAATTCTCTTTCCCCAATTCTCAAGTCTAGCGCAAAGATACTTTCCAAGCTAAATTTTGCATGTCCTTATGTTTTCCCTGTGCCTGGTTACGGTTACGAATCATCGGAAAACCAGCAAATATTGTTGCAGCAGCAGGTTAGCTATTGTCTTTTTAGTTTTCCTTATGAGTGACTGACTCTTGTTTTTCAGAACAATTTGTCCGTCACCATTGCCAAGAACTTGTTAAAGGTTTGAAAGATTTGGGGACGGGCAAATTACTGACTCTTACGTGTCTGATGCTATCAGTTTCGTTTACTTCCGCTATCCGGTCTAGGAATGGATGGTTCTTCAGTGCCAGAAGCTTTTGACGGGAAGGTGCATACAGACGAGCTGATTGAATGCGTACCCGAAATTTTACCACTGACGGAAAAACTCAAGGAATTTTGGAAAGCTTACGGTTCCAAGGACCTTGTCGAAGAACCTTGGTTCGATAAAGGTGCAGATTCTCGCTCACTGAGCTCCTCAAGCTTGACAAAGGAGATTCCCGACACATTGAAAGCAGTAGGCAGGAAAGAGGTGGAGCTTATATTCCTTGGCACTGGATCTTCTCAGCCTTCGACATATCGTAATGTTAGTGCGATCTACGTCCACCTTTTCGCAAATGGGGGGATGCTTCTGGATTGTGGAGAGGGAACTTACGGTCAGCTACTAAGAAGGTACCGCGTGTTTCGGTGCTTGCTAGATTGTTTCTTACTGGGCTCTGGTCTGCAGGTTCGGACCAAGTACTGATTCCGTTGTAGCTGGCCTACGTTTGATTTGGATTTCGCACATCCATGCTGATCATCACGGTGGTCTTAGCCGAATACTCTCTGTTCGGCGGCAGCTTCTTTCCAAGTCTGGCAACGTCGAACCGCTTCTCGTGGTGGGACCAAAGTTGCTGAAACGGGTTCTGGAGGCTTATGATATGGTTGAGGACCTTGGGGTGGAATTCTTAGATTGTAGTCAAACGACGTTGGAAGCATCAGACATTGCGGCTGGAGGTCAACCCAAGGGATTCGTTAGCTCTATAGTTTCTGGATCACAGGAAGGCAGGTCCGGGTTCATGCAGTGGGTTCAGCGGGGATACCATCTTAGGAATGGACTGGATGAAGCTGGAAGGAGTAAACTGCAGGATACATTGAAAGCACTGGGTCTGAGCAGCTTAGTGAGCGTACCGGTGATCCATTGCCCACATGCATTTGGAGTAGTTCTTGAAGCTCAAAACAAGGCCGACACTTCAAAAGCGGGATGGAAGCTTGCTTATTCAGGGGACACAAGGCCTTGCAAGGCCTTTATTGAGGCCTCTGACGGCGCTACAGTTTTCATTCATGAGGTACGTTCGTTCAGAAATCCCCAAAAGTAGGATTCATATCCATGTGTTTTTGATACTTGACAGGCCACCTTTGAGGATGGAATGTCTGAGGAAGCGGTATCAAAGATGCATAGTTCAACTCACGAAGCCATACAGGCTGGGGCTTTGGCGCGAGCCTATCGGACCATCCTGACGCACTTCAGTCAGCGTTACTCCAAGGTGCCAGTTTTTGACGACAGCTACAACGACAGGACATGCGTGGCTTTCGACTTGATGAGCATCGATTTAGTTGATCTGCCCCTGTTACCGTCGCTCATCCCCGTGCTAAAGCTTCTCTTCAAGGACGATCAAGCTGAAGAGCAAGCCGACGAAGAGGTTTTGTAGCACGACAATGGTCCACAGGTTCGAGACACCTGCTTGCTGAGCTACTGACTTGGGTGACGTGGTTTCAGATGTGGAAAACGTGGCAATTGCGGGAACAAAAAATCTTTTTGCCAACCAGTCATCTCAAAGCATCAAGCGTGAGTGCCCGTTTAATTTTTTTATACCAATGCTTTGAAAAGAGATGACACTAAAAGAAAGCCTTTTGTGGGTCCAGGGAGTAATCGTTTTGTCGACACGGCTGCACAAATATGCCCGATGGGATTGGACCACTCAGCTTGATGTGGAATCTGTGGATGGCTGCTATAATGACGCTATGCTCCAATCATGGTCTTGCTGTAATGCGAATCGATCGGGGGCTTGTAAGTCCATCGTCCCACCTTATAATTCTTGTTAGTTGCTGCTTTACTTTTTTGTCTTCCAATCTTTGCTGGTGTTTGTTTTCTTGTTGTGCCGACTAATTCTCTCCTTTTTACAGCGGTTTCTATCTAGTCCAACCAATGCGAGCGAAGTTTCTGCTCAAAGTACACGTAGGTGTCACATTGTGTAAAGACTTAACCGTCTGGTTTTGGCGTACAAGATCAAGGAAAAAGGAGACGTCCGGGCTTTTAACGTGATTCCCCCCCGAGTCGCTTTCAGCTCCCAAACTTCGTTTTTTCTTGGTGGACTGAACAGCCTCACACACAGGTCTTCTCCGCGCATCGTTTCTTCGGTGTAGGAGGAACCAACGAGCACGCTTGTGCGACGCATGCGCCTTTTGCCAAGAAAAAAAAAGCTGTTTTGGAAGAGAACAAGTAAAAGTTTCCCTCGAAATCTTTGCCATCGACTGGAAGTTATTGCCATTAGTATAATTCTTTGGCTTAAGATTGGCCAGACTGGAGCCAATCATAAGATCCCCGTACAGGAAATCTCCCCTCAGTACGGCGGGGATGGGCCATGGCCCAAGGTGACCCAGGCAGACAGCCCCGCCTTTGTTTTTTCCTTTTCGTGAAAATGCGGGAGCTGCTCCCGGGCGACGTGTCGTGTGCGCATTGGCCCCCGCGGTTAGTGGCCTTGAAAACACTCCGCCTTATCCTCATTGGCTGCTGGGCGGGATATCATTCTATTTTATTTTAGAGAAAGGAAACACAAGCTTATTTTCATTCATTTCATGTTATACGGACCAAATAAAGTTATGGAATGGAAAGCTTAGGGAATAAATATTAAACAATCTAAGCGTTTGATCGCCCCTCGATCCGACAGTATCCAACGGTCCAAGGGGGAGGTGATAGCTGGCCGCAGATCTGGCACCGCACACGTCCCCGTCACACCGCCATCCGACGGCCCAAAGATGAGACACACAGTTTTTTAAAAAGGGCCCTGCACATTAAAATCCCGGCTGACGGATTCCGTACCTCCCCTGGTATGGGCCCCCCCGATTCTCCGAAGTACGGTCGCTGACCCGACCGGATTCTATTCTGTGACCCATCACGCATGACGGCCACACGGCAGATGGCCCAGCACCAGTGAAGGCTCTTCGGTTGTCCTTGTGTACACACCAACACACCATACACCCAACACACAAAACACAACGAAAGAAAGAGAGAAGGAGAGAGAGAAAGAGGGAGGGATGGGTGTGTTCTTGAGCTTCTAGCGCGAGCTAGGGTACCGTTTTCCATCACGGGATCGTGGGAGGAGCTGTCGACGGGAGGAGCGATGGCGTCGGCGAAGCGGCGGCCGTGCTGGACATAGCCTATTCCAACGGAGGAATGCGCGCGCGCTGCGAAATATTTCCAGGTCCGCCTCATGTTTCTTGAGCGATCTCTTGGATTGGGGCCTTCTTCCTTGATCGACGCGCCCGGCAATGCGCTTGGCGCCTTGACCTAGTGCCCGCGGAGGCGTGTTCTTCCTTGTCTTTCTCTAGAAGCTCTTTCCCTGCTTGGTATTTCGAAATTGGAGCAGCGGGAATTCGTCAGCGGTGATGCTCGCTGAGCACTTCGTCTCTGGGAATATGGAGAATGGTGGGGATTTCGGCACGGCCAGGCTCGATTGGGAATGGGACAACGTGATGATGCTGCCAGCGGCAGGGATGAATCGGAAGCTCCACAGCGCTGATTGGAGCGAGGAGCCAGTGATGGGATCAGGCAAGGGTGGTGGCGGCGTCTTCTCTTCCGTCGCCGTCAAGCACGAGTGCTCGGGTGGGGAGATCCTGGACCTGACAAGATCCAAGCCCGACAGGAAGGCCAATGAGCTGATTGCCTCCCCGGAGAAGCCTTCCTCCAATTCCTCCAAGGACTTTTTCCTGGGGCTGAGTGGAGGAGTTGCCAGTGGTGGTAAAGGCGACATGGACAAGAACAGCGAAAGGGCGGCGATGGCTAATGGCGACGCGGAGACCGGTCTCAAGCTTGGACTCAAGCGTAGTTTCACTCCGGATAATCTTGCCGATGGTAACGCCGCCGCTACGACTGCCGCCACCACCTCCACCACCATCACCGCTACCACCAACAACAGCAAAGGGGGGTCTCCAGGGAAGAAGCCTCGCGGCTCCGCGAATCACACACCGCGTTGCCAAGTCGAGGGATGCAAGACGGATCTCTCCTCGGCCAAGGACTACCACCGGAGGCATAAGGTGTGCGCAATGCACTCCAAATCGGCGAAGGTCAGTGTCAACAACATCGAGCAGCGCTTCTGCCAACAATGCAGCCGGTAATTTTGCGAGAGTAGTCCTCGCTTCTTTTCGAGCCTAAGTTTTCTAGCTTCTTTGTTCCTTTTGGCCAGGTTTCACGTCCTGTCCGAGTTTGACGAAGGCAAGCGAAGCTGCCGGAGGCGTCTGGCCGGCCACAATGAGCGACGTAGGAAGCCACAGCCGGATCCAATGGCGTTGACAAGCGCCGCGCTCTCGCCTTACCAGGCGGGCTTCATGAGGCTTGCTCGTGGTGATGGATTACTTTGTTGTTGCTTTGTGTGTTACTGAAACTCTTTCTTACTTTGTTCCAGATGAGCGTCTGCTGGGTTATGGGACTCCACTATCGTACCTCGGTGTGGACAATTTACACGGCAAGCTCTCCTGGCCCAGGTTTGGAAGCGTCGATGATCACACGGGTCTCGTCTCGGGCTCGTCTAACATGTCCAGGCCGGAGCGCTTCTTCATGCTCTTCCCTCCAAGGAAGGGTCCAGCGATACTCAACAGCGTCGGCCATCACGGTGTCCATCAGTTCATGCAAGGCTCCGGCTCCATGGGCCAAAACCTGACGCTCTCGTCACCCTCGGCGTCGGGTGTGTACGCCGCCGGCATAGGCCCGCCCAGCCAAGCCTCGCACAACGCAGCCGCGGTGTCTGACTCTGGTCGTGCTCTCTCTCTTCTGTCATCTCAGCCATGGACGAGCCCCCATGACTCGATGGAGCAGCTCATGTCCGAAAGCCGAGCTCCTTACAACTCGCAGCAGCAGCAGCAGCAGCAGCAGCAGCAAGCAGCGAGTTACTCGGGGAATTCCCCGGTCCGGCAGCCGAGTTACGGCTCTCCCCAGGTGTTGCCACAGCAGGTTTCTCAGGGAAACATAGCGGTCGTAGCGCTGGAAAGCAGGAGTAGTGCTCAAGCTCAGCAGCAGCAACAAGGTGGCGGCGGTGGCTCGTTCCTGCCTGGGATAAATAACTACGAGAACCATGCGGTGCTCACTCTACTCCAGGAATCCGAGCTGCGGAATTTACAGGAGCAACAGCAGCAGCATGCCGCGAGGCCGACGATCGATCTCATGCAAATGTCAACAACGCAGCCGCCAGCGACCGTCGTAATCCAGCAACCGCAAAGTTCGTCCGATTTTCAGGTGCTCAAGCCGTATGGTTCCGGACTGTATGATCCGCACCAGCTCTGAGGGCACACGCGCTCTCCTCCGTGTCCTCGTCCGTTCGTCCGTTCGTCCCAGCAGAATTTAGGAGTGGTGGCGATCGAAACGAGCGACAAGGAGATTATATCGCTAGCAACCAAGAAGATCTATCAATCTTCTTCTATCTATCTATCCTCTCAGTGATAAGTGGCGACTTGGTCGAAGTGGCCTCTCCCTCTCTCGAGGTACCTGACAACACTACGCACTTCCAGTTTGCATTTGCCATCTTTGTGTGCTTTTTCTTTTTTTTCTTTTGGTTATCTTTTTCTTTTTTCATCTTAACTTTGTTTCTAGGCAGATTTGTATCATCATCTATTCAGGAAGGAAGATCCAAGAGAAGACGGGAACATTAAAAGAACTACAAAAAAAATGAAAATTAGAAGTGGAAAAAGAAATTATCCTTTCTTTTGATAATGCATTTGTTAGGATTAGAAAAAGTAGAGGCGAATTTTTGCACGTTGTTCGTGTGGTGGTGGTGACATTACCCCGCGTCCAGAAAGTATAAATGGATACGAATATCCACCCGCATTTTCGCTGTGCGGCCAGCTACCGGCATTCAATGCGGCCCAGAGACAAAGATTTGCGTTTGACGAGCGGTGGAATATCCAGTTTTTGTTCTTTTAGGGCTCCCTTGGCCCAAAGCCCTAATTCTAGACCAATCTGGTGTAGAGCGAGAAGAGCCGGTTGTGCTGTGTTGTTAGGGTTGAAAGGAGTCCTCCCGAGTCGGACGCTGGCGAGCCCAAGGCGTGATCGCCATTGTTAGACGGTGGTGGTGGTGACGATCCCAGGATCAAATTGTTGGCGGCGGTGGCGGCGGCGGCGGTAATGTGGTTGCCAGTGTTGTTAGTCGTGCTGGTGGTGGTGGAGTTCGTCACGGTGGACGCTGCCGGCACCAGGTTCTTGATCGAGTTTGTGGCGCTGTAGCTCACTTTGCTCGCCTCCGAGTCGTCCCGGGATGCCGACGGCGAGCTGCTGCTCTTGGGGAGCAGCGCGCTGGGCTTCGTGTCGGCTACACACACACACACACGATCAAAGTGCTCAGCGCAAAGTGTCGGAAGAGCTTGGCTTCGAAAGCGATATCATTCTCCGGGAGGAGAGAGCTTACCACCGCTAGAGTGTGTTGCTTCCGAGCCGCCTCCCCCGCCTCCTCCTTCGTGGGACTCGGACTTTCCAGCGGCGGAGTCACCGGCGGTGGAAGTCGAAGCGGCGGCGGCGGCGCTGGCGGTGGTGGTGGTGCTCGTTGGCTGCGGCTTCCGCCTCCGCCGGTTGTGATCGGCCAACCGCTTCCGGCAGCTCCGCTTGGAGTCGTCGAACTCGGTTAGCAAGTGGAATCTGGATGATCACACAAGATCGAAACTCGTCAGAGAAAATCTCATAGCGATCACATGAATCGCGAATCGGCACGACCGACAAACTTATTCCCTCCATCCAATCCAATTTCGCACACACTGAGAACTGTAGCTGTGTAGCTGACCTGGGGGAGCTACAAGCAAAGCGGAGAAAACCAAGAAAACTTTCTCGTGCTCGATGAAAGCTTGCCGGTGCTGTGTGCCTAGCTAGGCGTAGCTCCCACACACACACGCACAGGAGAAATGAAGGCCATGAAGAGATGCAACGACATATTCCATTCCTTTCCACCCAATCCACTCAGTCCAGCACAGTTTTGCTTTGCACGCGGATCAATCAAGCACACAAAAGCAAAATCGGAGAAAAGAAAGAGATCAACAGCGAAGAACAAGAACACACAGCTATAACTGCAGTTGAGACGAGAGTTCTTGGAACGAGTAAGTAACGCGTTTCGTACTACCCGCTTAAAACAGCTACCATTGTAGCTCGCACTTGACAAAACCAAGCATACAAAACAAAGACGAAGAAGCAAACTGAAAAAACAAGGACAGACTCAAATCAATCAAGTAATGGAAAGTGCAGGCCATCTCCCCAAGAAAAAAACGGCTTTTACAGAACAGGGGGTGAAACCACGAACTTGAACTGCTAGGAGCTCGAAGCTTTCGGAAGAAAGCTATGAAGAACAGGGAAAAGCCATGATATGATCATGGCCGGGTGGCGGGAAGAAACAATGGTGGCGTTGCCAAGAAGTTGACGATGATCTCACCCGAGAAAGGAGGGAGTAGAAAAACGAGAGAGAGCGAAAGATGACTGACCTGCTGCATTGTTGGCAGAAGCGCTGGGTCTGATTGTTGGCGATCACGTTTGGAGCCTTGGAGTGGAGCTCGCACACCTTGTGGCGGCGATGGTAGTGCTTGGCCTTGCTCAAGTCCGCGGTGCACCCCTCGGCCTGGCAGCGGGGGACGTGAACCGACGGCCCGTTGAGCCGCGGCCGCTTGCCAAACCGCGCAATCAGCGAGTCCTCGGCCGAGAAGTAAGTCCGCCCCCCGAGGTTCAATCCAATCCTCCCATGCAGCCACTCGTTCATCTGCTGCTGCTGATCGTACTGGCTATGGCTGCTCGAATGGTGGTGGTGACCCAAGAACTGGTAGTGCGGCTGCTGCTGCTGCTGCTGCTGGTGGCTATGGTGTTGTTCTTCGCGCTTGATGTAATTCCACAACCCACCTAGAGCTCCCAAGTTCCCGGAGCTGGATCGCTGCTGCGCGACATGCTGCTGCTGCTGGTGTTGCTGATCGGTCGACTCCACGTCCATGAGGCCGAAGAAGCTGCGCCTTTGCTCGAAAGTTCGCAAATCCTGCTGCTGCTGATGTTCTTGGTGGTGGTGGTGGTGGTGGAGCTGATGATCCGGGACGTCGAGCGCGGTGGCGCTGCCAAGGATCCCGTTTTGCTGCTGCTGCTGCTGGAGCAGCGCTAGTGTCATGGGATTCGTGGACGAGGAAGTTGACGATCGTTGCTGCTGCTGCTGGAGCATCGTCTGGAAGTGGGTGCCACCGCCGGTGGTACCGCCGCTACCACCGCCGCTACCGCCACCGCCACCGCCCGAGGGTGGGAAAGTGCCGCCTGGGAAGCCACCAGCGCCGCCGCCACCGCCGCCATAGCTGCTGGGAAAGACGAGGCCGCCACCGTGCTGCGAGGACGAGGAAGAGGTGGAGGAGTAAGAGCTGGGCCTGGAGAGAATTAGTGGCTTGAGCTCGTGGCCTTGCTGCTGGTGGTGGTGGTGGTGCTGCTGCTGCTGATAGAAGAGATTGCTCGTGCTAGTGGTGGTGGTGCTCGACTGATCCCATGGAGATATCTCCCACTGATCGCCTCCAGCGCTGCTGTTCGTCTTGGAAGAATGGTGGTGGTGGTGGTGGTGAGCGGCGCTGTTGGAGGAGGGAGCCGCGGAGAGCTGGTGGTGGTGGTGGTGATCTTGGTGGTAGTGGTTTTGATGATTCGATGCGAAGGGATGCATCGTGAGATCCCAGGAGCTCTGCTGGTGGTGGTGATCGCTGGATCCTCCTCCTCCTCCGCCTCCTCCAGCAGCGGCAGCCCAGAGCGGCAGACCAGATCCTCCAGCCGCCGCCGCCGCTGTTCCCGAAGGATTCATGGCACTTACTACTAACGCCAGTCTCTCGGCCGATCGATCGATCCCTTGGCTTCCTTGTTTCCAGCGCTAATTCGCCTCCTCGGCCATCACTGTTGCTCTCTCTTGCGTGTTCGTTCTTCCTGGTACTAGCTCTACAGGAACTATGCGATAACTATTTGCCGATCCATTTGCTCGGGATTGTTTGCTTCCTCCGCGGCTACCACGGCAATTGGATTACTCCCAGCCACATTACTCCAGCTTCTCGGGATCTTTCTCTTCCTGCAACAACGTCAAGTTTGTATGATCATTCCCGAGAAAAAACTAGAATTTGCTGCCTGGAACGAGATGGAAAAACGCGTTGGAAATCACAAGCAGCGAATGGAATCGCTGCTCCCAAACGGGCGAATGGAAACTGAGATTTAGCCTGACTCACACTGCAGCGCTGCTAACACCAGATAAAACAAAGAAAAACTCTTCACTCCAAGTTCTACAAACAACCACGAACGAGGAAAAAGAAAACCAAGAAAGAGAGAGGATGATGTTTGAGTACCTGGTGGATGATAGCTCGTAAAGCAAATCTCTTCAGGAATCATGGCTGACGAGCACACGAGAAATCGAGTTGGCCGTAAACTCCGTGCTGCCATAGCGTCGTCCACACACTGCCGGATAAAAAGAAAGAGCAGCGAGAACTTCGACTCGTCCTTTTCATGTTTTCTCCTCCTACCAGCTACTGCTACTCCCGTGGTAACTTTCTAAGATCATCCTGGTCGTCATCTCTTAGATTCCAGCATTATTGAAACCAAAGCGGCCGCTGCCCCTTGATCCGAAGCGAGCTTTCGCTGTGCTACTCGCGCCCTGAGCTCACAGATTCCATCTCTTTTGTCGCTCGCTGCCACTTTTCTCCTCGGGCTCTCGAGAGCACGGCCTCTCCAGGGGCCAAACAAAAAGAAAGTGTGACAAGGGGAGAGAGAAGAGAAAGAGAGAATGGAATCAAGACAACGTCCTGGTTGCCCAACAACTTAACCAGACAGGATAGAAGGAAATTCGTCCCAGAAATTCATCCACAAGAAATCGCAAACTTGGAAGTAAATAGGAAGAAGAAACAAAGAACACAGAGAGAATGAGTGAGAGAGAGAGAGAGAGAAGTGAGATTCTCCCGGAAAAGTGTATAGAGAGTGTGTGTGTTTGTGTCTCCTTTGTCGAGTGGAGCCTATGTGTGTTCCTAGCTTAGTATGGCCTCCAGGAGCTACAAACCTGCTATATCATCATCTTCCGCCATAGCCAACTAGCTCTTCAGACCTCTCTCGCTCGCTGCTCTCTAGAAGCTTTGCTTTAATCTTAACTTAAAACTAATTCCCCCACGCTGAGAAGATTAAAACTCCAAGCCTCGCTCGCTCGCTCGCTCGCTCCCTTCTCGTAGCTAAAAGATTCTTCTTCTTCTTCGATCGAGAGTTCGTCTTCGTCTTCTGGGAACTTGGCCCGTTTCCCCGTGAAGTTCTTCCTTAGAATCTGGTTGAGGTAGTTTCCGTGATGACAGTGGTGGTACTCTACTGTAATGAAGTAGAGTCTTCCGGATATCACGGGGGGATTAAACTTCCAGGAGATAGTGTTGCAGTACTCTCCAGGAAGTTTAGACTCTCCCGTCTCTCCCGATTAAAACTCCCCTCTCGAGCTCGCTCGCTTCCTTTTTTCTTTCTCTCTTTTCTTCTCTCTCTCGATCTGCCTCTCAACTAGGATGATCCGTGCAGGAAGAAAGGAACGCACACACACGCTCAACGAGAGAGGACAAGAAGGGGTATGAAAGAATGTGTAGAGAAAAAAAAAAGGGTATGTGTGCTTCGCTACACGCTGGCCAGATCAAATCAAACACGAAAAAAACACAGCATTGACACTGTTGCGCGAGAATTGCTCCACGCAGGGAAGAACAAAGGCGGCATTTTTTTACTGCGCTGCGGGGATCGAGGACAGGGAAGGAAACAGTCTCGCGATGGATTATACAAGTCACTTAAACAAAACCACGAACGCTCTCAAACAAAAGCCTGCCAAAATCCAAGGCCCGAAAGGAGCGTCTTGCGAGCAGCGAGATTTATACTCGGCCAGAGCCACAACAGCACTGCAGCCTGGGATTATCACTGACCAGAATTCTGAGAACTACAATGAGATCGCAGAGGCTGGGCGATTTGAGAGCGATTCGCCACCCTGGAAAAACGAAAAATAAGATGCTCGTTTTTCGTGTTCTTTGGTTTTTACTCGGTCCAAAGTGCTGGGCTTGTTTGGCATTACACAACCACAATCTAGTACCACAACGAAACATTAAGAAAAATGTGAGTGAAATCGATGGACCACTTTTTTTTTTTCTTTTTTTTTCCTTTTTTTCCTTTTTTTTTCTTGTAATGAAAGCTAAATTACGCAACTTTTCTATTTCTCATTCGAAAATTCTATTGGCAGACAATATCAGTCAGGTGTCCTCACTAACAGAAGCAGCTCCGTCAGACCTGACAGAAAACACAAACGGACTCTGTTAGGAGTTTCTGTACGTGGAGGCCCTGCCACGTGTCTGCGCCTTACAGGCCCCGGTAAATGGCCACATTGTTTGCGTGCTCAGACACACGCACCAGGGCAGTGACTGGAAACATAACAAAAACAGCAACAGCTCTCAATTCACCCAAGAAGAAATAAAGCTCTTTTTCTTTTCTCCCGTACGGATATCCAAGTCGCGCTCTAGAAATGTCTGATCACGCCATGATCAAGATCTACAAAACCATAGTTTTATGTTTAGAGCCCGAGAGAGATTCAAAGAATGTTTGATCACAACGAGATGATTAAACCGACTCGCGTATTAGTATAATCCCGGTCTAATGGCTTTAGTTTAATGGTCTTTCAGTGCCCGAGATGGTTAGGTGCGTGGTGCCACATTATCATGATCAAGGAAAACCATTAAAGTAATCATCATAGAATCTATGTCAGAAGGACTACTTGAATCTCGCCACCCTCTTTTCTAATTGCTAGAAAGCTGAGGAGTAGCTTTGGCATATTAGCAGTGATGATGATCAGCACCACCGCAAAGGACGTTGATACAAAAATGCCGCCAACTTTTCGCCCCAAGCGAACACCACACGGTTCCCCGTGCCCTAATTTCGTACGAGCTACTCAGTGATTCAATGCATGCTCGTTCTCGGCTTACAGACCAAGCGAATTGTGGGGATCTGGAAACTTTGATTGGAGCTAAAGCTTCTATAAGCGTAGCCCTAAGCTAGGAATTAGATTACTAGCCAGCAATCACCCTCCTTCGCATCGGGAATGGAAGAGCGGCCAGCCCTTTCCACCACGCACAACAACACAAGAGTTACGGAGGCCGTAAAAACGCTATGTCACCACCAGCGCCACCCTCAAACGCTCCCAAATGTGCAAAGTCCCACGTAAAAACCGGCGGATAAACCACGACTGTTTTTAACTTGGAGGGGTAAGTTTCTCGGTGTGGGCGAATAACAGCGATGCTTGGCACATGAGAAGAAGGAGTGCTTGCTTGTTGTTTGTTGGGGCTACGGTCGCCCGGACGTAAATGACGGACGTTGACGCCCGCGGTCGCATCGGTCGCGTCGCTGACTCACGGTCAACCGGGAAATTGGGCTGGGCTGTTGCGATTTGATCCCGCAACGGATTTGATCCCCTCGTAGACGAAGCTACTTTCGCGGCATCTGGGCGGCGCGGCATCTGGGCTGCTGTTAAAACCATCTTTCTCTCTCTCTCTTACACACTGAGAAAATCATGGGAAAGATCATGGTGTGGCAAACTTTCCTTGTCTTGGCATTTAGCATTGGATGCTGGATTGGACAAGATCGATTTCAATCCCCATCGGCCGGGTCATACACGCAATAATCCCGCATTCGTCCGTGAGTCCCATCCCGGCATCCAAAAGGGGCACTTCGAGAAGGAACTGATGAAACAAACAAGCAAGCAAGCGCCTCTCTTTCATTCCTTGCTTTTGCAAGGCTGTAAAGCTCGCAACGCATGCACTATAACTTCCTGGCCCAGGAAACCTAAGAAGGATTGAAAAGCCCGCCACCTTTTGTCTCATGATACACCGCTTCCTTCAAACAGAACGCGACCGTCAACTTCGCCGTCCGTAGCCCTAGGGAAAATTGCGCGAGGCGATGATTAGCACTAATAACAACCGGGGCCGGACAGACGCCTTGCTGTTAGGTGGATGTCTTGTACAATTGTACGCAACTGTTATAGCTATACGCCCCCACCAAGCTACATGTCCATAACAACATGTACACTCCCCCCAGGCAAGTTTCATTCCCAAATGGGAAGTTCCAAGTTGCCAGCCATTTAAGCCCACTGGGAGAGAGATTTGAATGGGGCCAACGCAACCCTGTCCCTGTGTTTTTGTGGCTTCTCGCTGCTCCCCAAGCTCCTACTCGAGTGCTTGGCCTCGTCTCGTACACGAAACATAATCACAAAAGCTCCCAGGACACGACATGACCGTCTGGTTTTATACTATACTATACGGCGATAAGAGAGAGAGAGAGAGAGGGTGAGATCAATCACATAAAGGTATCCAGCAATGTTCAACACATATACGACCGGGAAAATCAAAAAGGTCAGTTTGGATGGGGGATTTAATCTTGAGAATTTGCCTGTTTTGGGGCATTGTCAGTTCCGGGCATTCCATTTCAGGGGAGGTGAGAAGAATTAAAGTACGGCCCTACCTTTTACCCTTTCCGGATTAAATGGGGGGCCTGATTATTCGCGGATATTCCCGGCCCAACGACCGTGGACTGTAAGCATCAGCTGCCAGATTCATTTGGAACGCATGGTCAGAAGCAACAAACGACATGCGATTTGCACGTGAAGACCTAAAACCAAAAGTTTCAAAAGACCTTCAGACACCACCCAGAGGCCAGCAGACAGCCCACTCACAACAACACCCAACTACAAAATCGGGATAAAAATAAAGGAAAAAGCAAAGAGAAAAAAAAAGGGGGAAAATTCTTCGGTCATTCTCTTTGTTATATCAGCCTTTTGGGCCACAGGTACGGACGCTGGTGCGCGTCACGTGGCCACGCCTGCAGTCCGTATGAATGAAGGGCCACCGACGGGCAGATATTTCGTGGCTGTTTTCTATTTTATTCTATAATTTTCTAAGACAGCAGGTTTGCGAGTGTTTATCTTCCGTGAAACGAAAATTGATTGATTGTCCTCCGCTTTGCATCCACCTGGGTGATTCTAGATCACGACATTTTTATGTTCTTGGCACTGCTGGCTCGATCGATCGATGGGGACGAATCTAAGATCGCGAGAAAACGGGACTTTTGATCCGCCACCTTTTCACCCCCCGGCTCCTCCGGCGTGGTACGCACGTCACCCGGGCGTACGGCAGATTGGGGGGCTGTTTGTTTACCCGGGTTTGTTTGTTTGTTTTGTTTTTTTTTTGTCCCCGCCACGCACGATGTGAGTTCAGTTTGGCACACAAGAATCGGTACGGAAGGAACCCAGGGGCAAAACACTGATTGAAATTGTTGAATGGAACTCGAGGGTACTCTCGTTCTTTTTTATCCACCGGGCAGATTCGGGCTTACGCATTGCATCACGGATGATGGAATAGAATCCGGGGAAAAGGAGGCAGAGGAAATCAACACTGTTGTGATTGTTTGAGAAAGAAATCTCTGGCGAGATCAGTCAGCTGCTATTCACACCTTTCCTTGGTCTCATTTATAATCGCAAAGTGATAGTCCTCCCCCAAGTTGATACACGAGCTCCACCACCCATAAGCCTAAAACGGGAAATCCTCCTTCCCGACAGGGATCCCAATTGGCCCCCACATTTCCCCTCCCTGCCATGTCATAACCCCGCGCATTTCCCCACCACCTCTATCATATCGCAATCCCTTCGAGCGGGGCAATAAATGAGGGAGTTAGGCTGGTGACGTCACTTGTGTACGGACACCGGACAAACGTCCCGTCCCCGCGCCAGTGGCTATAATGCGGTCGGCCGTACCCCACCGCCGTCGCTCGCAACAACGGGGTGGGCCCCACTCCCCAGCCCCCACGTGTAAAAAGCGGCAAGCAGAATTTTCCCCGATCCCTATGACATGGAGCGAGATTACCACCAAAGAGTTGGTTAGTTGATCAATACCTCAAATCTATAATATAGAATTATAGATGGAATTATAAAACCAAGCGAAAGAATTTGTCGCAGCCGTCCCTGTCGAGTCCCCACACTAAAAGCTCAGGAGCTAGATGCCACGATGCGGCATTTTGTTCTAACAGGAAAGAGACGCCACCACGGTGGTGACGAGAAAGAACGAAAGGGTGAAGAGAGCGAAAGCGAGCGGGCAATGAAGGCTTTAATCCAGCGAGCAAGCAATCTCTGTCCACGAGAATCTGAGGAGACAGATTTAGTTTTCCGGAGAAAACGAGCTCCAATTGATTGATCGATCCACCCCGTCGATCCAGACATCTTAGACGAAAAGGAGAAAAAGAAAGAGGGATTCACAGAGGTCGCTAGGACAAGAACATCTCTTGTTTTACCTTGTGTCGATTGCTTTACTGCTCGTCCGCTGCAAGAGATTTGAGTACATGCTGGCAAAGCCAGTCCGATTAAACTCTTTTGGTCCATTCAGCCGCGATCATGTTGAATTCCAGCGTTCGTATACTTGACATGTAAGCGAAAACTTCCT